AAAAAAAAAAAAAAAAGAAAGTAATAATAATACAACGCACATGATTTTTCTCAGCGTTACGTAGACAGCGTTAATCCGCGCCGTTATAAGTTCTCGATTGAGCCACTGTTTGTCAACCGTTTGCTGTTCAAGCTGAAATACAAATGCAATTTTTGCAATGATCACATCATGTCTGGAAGCTAGCAATCTCAATTAAAGTATCAGTTTCATTTAGAAATGTCACTGCGAACCTGTGAATCCCTGTGGTGGTTGACCCGGTACTGAGTATTGTGGTCTAAAATTCCCGAAATTGGCCGCACCGGCGAACGTCGCTGGCAACTGTCCACCGGAGAAGCCCGCTGGAAACTGTTGCGCCAGTAGAGCTGCTTGACCAGACTGGGAACTGCTTCCGCCTGGCGCGGTTGCCGCCAGTCGGCTCAATATCGATCTCTCCGACATTTGAAGTCTTTGAGCTACAGGCGGAATGCGAGCTAACGTGGCTGGCAAACGGCTCACGTCAGACTTCATGTCGGACAGCAGTTCCTCCAATTGATTTAGTACCTGCAATGAAACAATAAAATATGAAAGAAAAATGATGATAGACAAACATATCGAAAAAGAGACGATTAGCTTTCATTTATGGATTATATATATTACTTTATGCAATACAGCGTTCGCTGGTTTGTTCCCAGCAAGACTTTCTTTACTAAGGTGTTGATGTGACTCTGCAAGGCACTCAACTTCGGCAAATCTTGCATTCAGGCTCATCGCAGGATGGTTCGGATCCTGCGTTAAATTCAGGTACGCTGCTCTTCTCAATTGCTCTTCTATCACTAACGCCTGTTCCAACAGTTTGAAACGCCGAGCTAGGAATTTATTTTTTATTTCCAAAAAGTTACCCTTACCAACGTCCATTTTAAATGGTTCGTTTATTATCGCGAACCTGTGAAACAATATATATTAATGGCATACATTTCTAATAAGTGTATACTTCTCTGTCTAAGAACCGTATTTTTATGGCCAAAAATGAATTTTTCCTGCAATGTTTAAATAGACAATAAATAAAGTCCGTGATGAGAATTTGGAGTTGTTCGTATAGTGGGTATAGTAACCGTTTATGTTCCACTGTATTATTGGTTTCATGATATTTGGAGGGGCTTTGGATTTGGATTTTGGATCACGGTTCTTATGAAAATTCGATGTCGGATTCAGATGAGCAGCTAAATGACGATTCAGGTATCTCAGTCAGTTTGGTGAGCTTTTTGCAGAGTCGATGTATTCTGTTTTTATACTTCTTTCGTTTAGATGGGGATAGATTTCTTCAAGAGTTTGAACAAGGGTCGGAATGTTATCGGTGTAGTTTTTTGCGATTTCCAATGGGTGTGCTGATCCGAAGGTGTCTTGGAGGAAGCTCTTGATCTGGGAATAATTTAACTGGAAATGTGAAGGATTTTTTTTATTTATTATTTCTTTTGCTGGGGCTAACATTTCCTCTAGTTTGGCGGAATCGAAAACTGGAGATTGGAGAGGAAGTGGTTTTAGTTTGGTTATTGCAATTTTTTTTTTTATGTGGATTAATTGGTGGAGGCATGAAGTCTATGTCGTTTAAGCTAACATAGTCCGGTTTGTCGTCAGCTGATGATTGTGACAGTGGTCTTTTGAAACTGAAAAGGATTGGTGGTTGCTCTGTAGGTAATTTATTCGTTGTTTGTTTAGGATTGTCGATGTTTGTCTCGGTAGTGATGGGAATCTTCTTTACCGGCAGTTTGGAGGATTGAGTTGGTTTGGAATCGTTGTATTTGTCGTATCGGTTATGTTTGAATTTTGGGTTAGCGAGCAATCTTTCGTTAAGTGACCTTCTTGTTTACACCGGAAGCAGAGAAGGCTATCGATGGAGGTGAAAATACGGTAAGATGTATCTTCAAAAGTTAGTATGAAAGTGGATGGGATTTTTCCAATGTCATCGGGGTCAATGTATACCTGTTTTATGAAACTGAGGATGTGGGTGTATTCCGGGTCGGTCATTCCTGCTTTCAGGGTTGTTATTCTGGAGCATAACTTGACGTTTCTTTTGAAAATTTTGAGTTGGGTATGACTGGGGCGACGTTTGATAGAATTACTCTTTGGACCGGAGTTAATATTGGTCTTAAGTTTAGCATATTGTTGTTGACCGTTATTGTTTTATGCAGATTTGTTAGGTGTAGCACAGTTTCTTTTTTATCAAGATATGCGTAAATTCGATTGTTTGGAGATGTACCTTATTGATTTGGGGCTGATTAGTTTTCCTATTGCAAGAGCATAGTCTTGGAGGCTTGTGTCGTCTATTGCGTGATGATAGCTTGGTCTTTTGTAGGTAATGCATCGAGTTTTACTACATGGGAGTAAGATTTAAAGGAATTGTTTGTTTCCGTTTGGTTAGAAAATTGGGAACCCCTGTACTCAGAGGTTCCCCGCAGGTTGGTGTTGGTTAGTCGGTGTATTCATTTCTGTGGTATTCTTTTATGTTGAGATACCAGATTGGCGTTTGTTTTCACTAATACTATAATAATATGGATGTGAACTCTGTGAAAGCGAGACTGTATCGGACGTCCGTACAGTACGACGGCTAAACCGAGACTGAATTCAACAACCTATTACCCTCAATCTATGAAATAATTCTGGACACAAAAATGCGGCCTTTGGACCACTGTGCATTATCAGTTTCTGTTACCTGATGTCATTCTGAATATCCTGCCAACGTCCATAACCATGCGTAACAATACCAGCCAGTAGCCAATAGTCGTGTCTCCGATGCCAGATCTCATATTCACGACCAGGTACTGCGGCTTTTTCTTCATTTAACCACAATGTGTGCAATTCAGTGAAACCACCATCGGCTATGTTGAACATGAACTTACGCTTAGGCTTTATGGTCTCAGAGTCGCAATCTTTTATGTCCTTATCTTTGCTGTCTTTCTCCTGTAATATGAAGTCAAAAATCTTGTCAATTGTGTCGAATAAATTATTCAATTATTATTGTAAGGGCAGCCGAATTAGCAAGTACCTCTCGTTTTTCAGTTTCTTCCTCGTCGTCTTTAACGATAACAACATCTTCCTCGGAATCTTGCTTCGCTTTGTTTTCGGAATTATCTAGCTTCTCGTCGTGTTTTGTTACTGATTTTTCATCTTTAACATCAGCTTTATCCTTCTCTTTGTCCAATGTCTCTGTCTCTGTATCCTTCTCTTCCTTCTTCACGTCCTCGTTTTCTTTATCTCTTTCCGCATTACTTTCTTCCTCCTCCTTTGAGTCCTTTGGTTCTTCCTTCACGTCCTTCGTATCGACGCTCTGCAAAATAATCTTTCTTTTACAAGTGATTCAAGATTTGCTTAAGTTTTCGTGATCAAATGCACGAACTTCTTTATCTTTTGGTTCCTCCTTGCATTCTTTCACTTCCGTCACGTCTGAATTCGATTTGTTGGAGTCAGTATTTGTGTTCCCGGTGGCTGCAGTTGGGATCGGAGTCGCAGCAGGACTCGGGCTAGGTGCGTTGGAAGTAGCTGGCGTTGCACTGGTACTGCTGGTTCCAGTTGCTCCGTCTCCACCACCATCCACTTTCACTGGTTCCACTGGTTTTCGAATCATCTCAGGCATCGAGTAGTATCCGTTTATGTGTTCGAATTCTTGCACCTATCAAACAAAAAGAAATTATTAAAAAAAAGAAAAAGAAAACGAAAACAAAAGACTTTACCTTTTTCCTTATCAAAGACATTACACCAATTCTTGTTAAAACATGCTGTCTGCTAAGACCTTCTCTCGGAACACCGTCAGCGAATGTTTCAGCATTATCCGCGCCTGGTTCGCACAAGTGTCGCATAAACAGGGAAACATAGGCCTTGAAATTTTTTTCCGACTTGCCTCTCAGGTCTCGTACCAGCCTAACGCGATAATACGTTTTACTATTACATTAAATTTAGAATTAAATACATTAAATACCGTGGATTTTTCAGCAGATAACTAACCATTGAGAGTTAAACGCGTCCTGTGGTGGCATACCATAACGCATGATTGCATTCAGGAATGCTTTCCTTTGTCTGGCGTTGAAACCTAATACCTGAATTGAAAAAAAAAGATTATATTAAAGTATATGTTTTTCGTAAATTTTTAAGTATAAAAAGAAAATTATACAAGCGTACTTCAATATTTCCATTAACTCTGGCTAGCAGTGGAGGAAGAGGTCGATCCTTTTCGTCTCTCCTCTCTAATCTTCGTCTGCTCCTGCGAGACAATAAATCACCGTCACCCTTTTCATCGAAGTCGTCATCTTCTTTGTCATCGTCGCTAGGAGCACTGAAGTCGCTGTTATAATCAGAAAGATTCTCCTGCCATGGTTGATCGTCCCTCGTATTCTGGTCTCCAGTCACTCCTCCATCGTTATAGTTCACTTGCTTACGTATTCGCTTACCTAAAGACGATTATTGCTTTTTAAAGATACGTATACGGAAAAGAAAATCAAGTATCTTTCCCAAGAAACACGCACCTTTTCCAAGCGTTCTGGCAATGTCTTCCTGTTGCTGTTCGTAGTGATGTCTCAGTAGTTTGATCCAGTAAGCCGGATCTGTATTTTCAGCTTCCTGTTTGATAATCTCCGTATCGGCTTCCTCTTCTGTTTCGCCTTCCTTTGTTACGTACGACGCCACTTTGAACGAACTCAAATACTCGTTGGCCCAATTTTCTTTCTGCTCAATGCCTTCCTTGCTTCTGTCTAGCAGTTCAGCCACAGCTTTATCATCATAGTGGATAGCTTCATCCTCTTTGCCTTCTTCCTCTTTGAACAACTCCTCGGTACCTAATACAAATTAACATTACAGACACGCTCTCTCTCTAATCTTAAACTCTATTGATCGTCAATCCAATATCGTTACCGAATCGCAAGATGTCGTCGAGTTCTTGTTTGCTGAAGTTGGCGCCTTTACCACCCATGCCGGGTCTCACGACCAAATGTGTCAGCATCATCTTACGTTTTGCCACTTGCGTGACTCGTTCCTCGACGGAATTGCGGGTCACGAATCTGTAGATCATGACTTTATTAGCTTGGCCAATTCTGTGCGCTCTGCTGAATGCCTGAATGTCGTTATGAGGATTCCAATCGGAATCGTAGATGATCACAGTGTCAGCGGTGGCCAGGTTTATACCCAAACCGCCGGCTCGAGTAGAAAGTAGAAAAACAAATTGTTGCGCTCCTGATAATAAAGAAATAATTTGTTAGTTTCTGTCTAATATTTAATTAGAAGAACTAGAGGGACTGTACTCACCAGGCGCGTTAAATCTGTCGATAGCTTCCTGTCTTTGAGCACCAGTGATATTACCGTCTATTCTCTCATATTTGTAACCCTCTCCTTCCAAGTAATCTTCAAGGATATCCAACATTTTTGTCATTTGAGAGAAAATTAAGACCCTGTGTCCGTCATCCCTTAGTTTCTTTAACATCTTGCTCAGTAAGACCAATTTTCCTGCTGCTTTGATCAACGCGGATGTTTCGTAGCTTCCATTTGGTGCGGTTGGTGCCTCTTGGGACGCGGCTGGGAACAAGTATGGATGATTGCAGCATTTTTTAAGGTCCATCATGATATTCAACAGCGAGACTTGTTGACCACCACCCTTCGGGTTCAACGCCTCGAAATTTCTCGTTAATATGTATTTGTAATATTTCTTTTGCATGGGCGATAATTCGACGCGAACGATGAATTCTGATTTGCTCGGCATGTTCTGTAAACAAAAATAATACGTAACAATAATTTCTAAAAAAAAAATATGTAATAAATACCTTTAGTACGTCGGCCTTTAATCTTCTCAACATGTGTGGTCCGAGTAATTCGTGCAATTTCTTCACCTGTTCTTCTTTCGAAATATCGGCAAATTCATTTTGGAACGCCGCCAGATCGTTGAATTTATCGCGGCACAGGAAATTCAAAAGATGAAACAGTTCCTCCAAGTTATTTTGCAGAGGAGTTCCAGTTAACAATAATTTGTAAGCAATATTATAAGACGCTAGTAGTCTAAAAAATTTCGATTGGTTCGACTTCAGCCTATGCGCTTCGTCTACTACTAATACGGCCCAATCTATCGATCCTAAGCACGCAGAATCAATTGAAATCAGTTCGTAACTCGTGAGGAGCACATTGAATTTAATTTGATTTGATCGGATCTTCGATGCTCGGCCACCACGTACAGCACCTTCTTCAAAAGACAATTCGTTCTCACGAATTACAATACGACTATCCTTGTCACCTGGAAACAATATAAAACATTAATTAACAATGAAAAGCTAATAAATACTGATTTCGATTGATTATTTCGTACGTACTTACCAACATAAGTAACGCAGTAAAAATCAGGTGCCCAGGTTTCAAACTCACGTTCCCAGTTAATGATAGTTGATAGAGGAACAGAAACGAGAAACGGTCCCTTGCAGTGACCTTCTTTGTACAACGAATAGAGGAAAGTGATAGTTTGAATGGTTTTTCCCAAACCCATCTCATCTGCTAAAATAGTGTCTATGCCTTGGCCCCACGAATATCTTAACCAATTCAAGCCCTAATAAAATTGTGGAGTTATAATAAAGTTCATCGTAAACAAAATATCGCGACGAAACCGAGACACGTACTTCTAACTGATAAGGATGTAATTGCATCCCAGTCTGATCCAAATACTCTGGCTGGCGTTCGTACTTTTTCTTCAGATCCGTTGTAGGCTTGTCAGGCGGAGGTGTATACCTCTTTGGTGTTCTTTCTTCGTCGTCGATGAGTTCGCGGGTCTTCGATTTCTTGCCTTTACCTGAGCATAACGTACATGTTTACGTCGCAGCTTGTAACAGCGATTGCAAAAAAGAAAAAAATAAATTAACCGACTCTTCTCACCCTTCTTGCCCTTGCGGGAGGAACTACCATCGCAACAGTTTGCAGCTCTGAGATCCAGATAATATTCGATAGCTTGTTTTAATCCGGGAATATCCTCATGTTCGTCCTCCCAAGTTGCCTGGTCGTATCCCAATTCTCTCCATTTAACAAGATACGTTGCTCTGCCATCTCTAGAAAGCCTGTGGTTAATTACACGATGCACCACAAGCCATTCTGGCCGAACTCCGTAACGATAGAATCGTTCTTCCAAGTTATATTCATCCCGATTTGTTGCACCGTCCTGTTCTTTCAAACGTTTCACACGTGAATCACTTTCGTCCAACGGCTCCTCCAACTTCGGTGGTTCATCCATATCATACTTTCGTGAATAATTTCTGAAAAATAAATACGATAAAATTTAGAAGATACATAAAAGGAAAAAGACATACAGATATTGCTGTTTCATTCAGGTATGATTAATGTTATACCTGAACATAAGAGGGTGAAAAACATCAAGCTGTAGTTCTGTAATCCAGTCACAATGCCAATAAGACATGTCTGCCCATTTCACAAAGAATTCACGCATTCTGCGTTGCTTTGGAGCAGCCTTACTCGTTGACGGCTCTTCCGAAGGTGTTTCTGGGCATTCCTTCCACCTCCATGTTAAAATCTTGGCAACTATCACGCAAAAGATCAAATACTTCGTCATATATATACACGTGATACAATTTTACCTTTTCCACGTATCGGTGGACAAGAACATCTGGGACACTTCCAGTCACCGTCAGGAATCTCCGAAAGCGGTGGATTTAAACAGTGCGTGTGGTATGCGCTAGTACAGCTATCACAGCACAGCAATTCACCACCGTCCTTGCATATTCTGCAAAACTCCATGTGCTCATCATCGTCCTCAGCGGCACCTGAAAGCGAAATTAATCATCCTGTAGAGCACAATTTGTTTTTAAACAAGCGTACACATCAGTGTGTGTTGGGAAGGATGGAAGGTTCAGGGTTATAAGGGAGCTACCTGCAATACCTTCTCCTTCGCAATGAGGACAACTCCATTTTCCTTCCGGAGTCTCTTCCAGTTCGGGTTCTAAACATACCAAGTGATAAGCTCTAGGGCATGTATCACACAAGATAATTTCTCCACCTTGTTGGCACACTTCGCAATAATCTTGATGATCAGTCTACATAAAAAAAAAAAAATACAAATATACAAAGAAACTGGCATAAAAAACGGATTTAACACATTGAATGGGGGACACCGGTAACAAATAAATCCATTAAATATGTTTATATGCTTTAATTTATCCGTTGCAGATAATATTTCAACATAATATCTATCGTATAATAAGAAATTCATCGTGGCGTTCTGGACCAAACGTGCAAAATTAAAGTGACATTCAACGTGTTAATATTAATCAAAGATAATGTAACTATACCTGAAGACCTTCCTCCCCATCTGGGAACTTCGATGTGGTCTTTGTCTTTTTCTTTTTCTTGGTCTTATTTCCGATTTTGGTCTTTGCCTTCCTGCGAACGGGCGGTTCTGCCGGTGGTTCAACACCGCTTTCCTCCGCGTTTCCTTTGTTCGTCCCGTCTACGCCAGTAGGTTCCTCCGCGTCTGCCAGCATCTGTTCGAATTCCATGTCCGAATCTCTATCGGTACCAACGCCACTACCTTCTGCTTCCTCGTCTGAACTTCCCCGTTTGCGTTTACCAAGCTTGATCTTGAGCGTCGGTACTTTGGAAGCTTTCTTCCCCTTCTTTGCCCTGGATCCTCGTGATTTCCGCTTTCTATCGCTGTCCTCGTCGTCATCTTCCTCATCTTCACCTTCCTGAACTGCGCCACTGCGATTTGCCCTCGCGTTTCTGCTGTCCTCATCCACATTCGCAGAAGATACGTCCGCGTCCGGCTGCGTGTGAGGATTTAGCTCGGAAAAATCACGCCATTTGGCAGCCACTAGCATCATAAGCTTCGACATTGGAACCTAAAAATAAATATAATGAGAAATTTATTGGTGGTGAATAAAATGTTAGAGAAATTACAAAATCATTACTTATATATTAAAGAATGTTAACTGAATCAAATCAATTACATTAAATGGAATAAAAATTTACTTTTGGATTCTCCTTTGCGAGAAGTGGCCTGACGTGTTGTTGGAACAATTTGTAAGTAGTTAAATTCTGAAAGTCTGCATCGGTATATTCAATTTGTACATCGGTCAATCCAAAAGTGTTACAGACTTCCTCGATTGTGGGCATTCCTGTCGTGGGTTCCTGGCTAGAAGGGGCTGGTGGATTGTGACTAGATGACTTTCTGGAAGAGGATTTCCTACTTTTTCTATTTCCAGCATAGTCGCTATCATCTCCAGCTACATCACCAGTTTCTCCAGCTGCTCCAAAATCACTTTCCTGCATAAACAAAATACAAATATTTAATTCACCAGTTATACTTTATTAAATATATTAGTTTAGGAATTAAGATAAAAGTAATTACATCTCCAGAATCAGATTTTTTCTTTTTCTTTTTTTTCTTCCCCTTCTTATCCTCACTACGAGCTTTCCGTTTCTTTCCTTTTTTCTTCTTTCTCTCCTCTGGTTCGTAATCATCATCTTCTTCCTACACAAAAAAAAAAGTACATTTCAAACGATGTTCAAGAGATAAATTTGTATTTAAGATACTGACTAGTCTTTGAGATTCTTCTGCATCGGATGAACCATCCACTTGTTGGTTAACATTCGAAACTTGACCTCCAGTTTCATCTATGTCATCTTCCCCTAAAAGTTCATTATATTAAAGAAATATTAAAGAAATTGCGAAGCAATAAAGCGAACGAATCAGCGCCCGTTGGAATATCGACAAATATGTAAAATCGTTCGCAGCATGAAATAAATATATAATTCTGACGTTTCTAACATTTTCCATTCATGTATGACTGGGCATGTGTTAAGCTACATTTTCACTGGCTGTATCTGTGACTTACATAAAATCAATATCTGTATTCATTACAATGTACGTTCAAAAGAATAATCAATATACACATATATTCCCCCCACCCCTCCGACCAAATTAATATCTCATGTAAATGAATATTTCACAGTCTGTCGGCAGAATGTGCGTGCATCCTTCTTCTTCTTACTCTACCAATCCTTTGAAAACTGACTCTTACGCAATCCTACCTGCACATGTTCAAAAAGCAATCTTACAATATCTCGCAAATACATATAAATGTTTCGGGCCGAACCGTCGGAGGAATTATTTTCCATCGCAGCGCCGCGACGACACGGCACCGACAGACACTTTGCCATTCAGTTTCCCCGGAAACCGAGAGAGAACGATCCTCACGACTTCGGATTCTCCTCGGAAAATATATGTTTTTTTCCAATAAAATTTTAGCGCGCGAGACGCTCTAAAAAAAGTGGCGAAGAAGAGACCCGTAGGAGATCGCAAATTGCAATCGGAGAAGTCGTTCGAACCTCGAAACAGCGAAACGACAGACGGACTGATAATTGCCAAATCGATAGCAACGTTTTACAACAAACCGATCTTTCTTTTTTTCCTTTTTTCCTCTTCATTCCTCCGGTACGACGAAATTAACGCAAACGGGCGGCTTCTGCGTGGAAAGACGAGTTTGCGCGCACGCGATCGACTCCCGTTTCAAAAATTGAACGAGCGAGGACCGGGGGGAGGGGGCGTCGAAACGTAGAAATTACATTCGACTAATCTGCGCTCGACGAATGCTTTGTGTATGAGAGTGTGCATGAGATCCGCCATTTTCTTCGAAAGGGCTCACCGCGTTGGATATCTACGCCTCGTATTTGTAATATCGCCGCGAATTTTTGTCCTGCCCGCTCGCCGATCGTTCAGAGGGATCTGTGAAGGAACTTTCAACGGCAATGCACAGCCGAAATCCTTTATACATTTCGAGAATGAACGAGAAGTTCTCAGCGAGAAGCTCGCACCGGTTGCTTATATATGTATCTACGGCGAACGGTGTGTGTGCACGCAACGCACACGCTTGTGCCAGATGGTCGGAAAGACCGAAGCCTGGTATCGCGAAATCATTCGAAGACTCTGCTAGAAATTGGAAGTTAAGAAATCTCCGTTTCCGACTTGTCTGCAGGAAATTGAATCTTTTGAGAAATCTCAAGCATTTCCGATATTGTTGAAAAAGATACGCACGACCAACGACCTTGTCATTCCGCCGTTTCAACCGAATCAACCGATCGCGCTGCAAAGTCTCATTAGAAAATAGCTTGAGCCTTTCAGCTCCTTTTTTTCTTTTTGTTTTTTGCGTTGCAGAATGACGAACGAAGCACGTTTCGTTCGCGCGCACGTAACGAGCTTAATTATACAACTTAGACCTAGAGAAACTTAACTGATGAGCGATTACCAGGCGTTAATTATATAAGGATCGCGACGAAATGTTTCGAGGATATTGTGCGAACGAAACTTGGGGCTGACGGTCGAAAATCGTTCGAACGTGCGGAATTAACGCGTAGAGTCGTAGTCACGCGCGATTCGAAATCTCGTTGCAAAACGCTCAAATTGAATTACGCCGACGAAATCTCGCTCAGACTACGGTTCACGATCGCGGAATCGTCCACCGTAGTCGTCGACCATCTGAAACGAACAGAAGTCGGTTAAAACTATATGTCCTCTCTTCGACAGTATCGGATGTAAACAATAACCTATATCCCCGTATCAGTTGCATTCGACTGAACTTACTGTATAAATGTCCACAAAATAAACACAAACTATGTATTAAATCGTCGTATCGGAGTATCGTTGAGTACTCGCGGAGAATGATCGACAATTATCGTCGATGATCTTCGGTTGGTTAATTAAGGTTAGCTTCTGGTTCGCGCGGCGAAGCGGGAGACTCGCTGTCGAATCGGAAGATTTCAGTCAGAGCTGGTCGTTTCCTTCTAGTTCGACGCTTGAATCTGGACCGATCCGGGAAATTGCAGGAAATAGAACACGAGATTCGGGATCAGAAGGTTGCGTGCAGAAAATTCCGTAAAAGGATCATCCTTCCGCCAATTAACATGGCAGCCATCGTGCTGCGCGAAAAGCGCGCGTCCTGCGTACTCGGGGACGTAGTACGACTCGCCGGACAGCGTACGCGACCGAGTCGAGTGTCCCTTTCTCGCACTTACCCGCGTAGCTCTCGTCCACCTCCTCGTCGGATGCCATATCCTCCGGTATCCTCCTGACGAACTACCAGACGCCCGAGAGAAACGCACACGCACACGATCGCGAGATCGATCCGAGAGCTCGCTCGCCGACCGATAGAGACGCTCACCGTTGGCAAACGGTACGAAAATACGACATGAAAAAGGCTCGGGGGCTTGATGATTGCGGCGCGTTGTCGGTTTACAAGCGTGCCGTCACCTCGTCTCGTACGTGCACCGATGTGCACCTACTGCTCTACGCTTCTTCTTTCACGCGATTCGTCAGTTCTCCTCGTTCCTCCCCCACCGAACTCTCTCCGCCATCCGTTTGCACTCCCCTCACGAAGAGTTGCCTGTGGCTTCCTCTCTTTGCCCCTCGACGCTCTGTTACACGCGCTGTACCGTAGCTGAATGTACGAATACATCGAATCGCCTGCCCCGCGAGTCCACGGTGTTGCATTTATTTCTTTTTACCCCTCTCCTCCGTCTCTCTCCTCCTCACCGTTGTTCAACCACCAATCCTTCCCCTATCTCCGTCGATTCCGCGGAATATACTTTTTTAGCTTTTAGAAAAAGATTTTTCAATAGCAATGCATTCGCACATACAAGGTGTGTACATGTGTGGCCGGGGTCGCTCACTACCACCGGCCCCCCTGCTCATTTTTTTCTCTTTCTTTTTTTCCCCATTCGTTACATTTTCAATCGCTTCTTTCCTTTTTTTTTTTAAATTTTATCGATTCGGATAAAATGCATGCACGCGTCTATTCTCATTTTGTTTAAAAAGTATACGCATATGTATATATATGTATATATATATATATGCTCATTTAGGAAAAATATCTTTTGACGATGATTAGTTCTTTGAAATTCTATAATTTTTAGTTCAGCGTATATTGTACGGTATCGCGAATTGCGATAGTATGCGTGTACGGATTTCGTAGTATGATTAATGGCCGGACAGTTACAAACGCGTACTATTATACAAATATATATGATATATACAAATACATGTACATGTATATACATACTCGTGTATCGACCTTTTTGATGGAAACAAGATAACCGAATAATGGCAGTCGATGCTATTTTTTTTCTTTTCTTTCTCTTTTTTCTCACTTGGTTTTGATTTAAAAAAAAATATATATATATATATGTATATGTATGATTCGCCATTGAATTTCTACGATCAAATTATTCGTTAATATCAGTACGCAAAGTGATAATAGCGATCAGCACGCTGCGAGAAAACTTGAATTAGGAAATTGGTTATTATCGTTCGCTATCGTAATACATACAGAAATAAATTGTATCCATGCGATGCATGTATGTTACGAACCAAGATATGTATCCCAACGATTTTTCATCCAATTTCATCGAATTTTCCATACCTACGACCAAAAAAGAAAAATGTATATAGCTCAAACCAATTTTATTTATTCAATCTATTTTCATAGTACATTTTATTAGATAAAATGTACAAGATTACTTTCAACGAGAAAAATACACATACACACGTACGTTTGATTTACATCAATAAAAGTTAAAATGTGTAATGAATTTTGTTGATAACATTGTGGTTGATAATGAAGAAAAGTTTGAAAATTAAAAGGGAAAATTTCAGAGAGAAAGAATGCAAATATGGCGCAATCTAGAAACCTTTTGCATCTACTCATTTGAAATACTCTAAATCTCTCAATTGCTTTGTACGAAATCAATCTCTTACAACTATAATTTTTTAGCTGCAGGAATTACTGAATGAAATATTGTCAAAACTTTTTTTTAACGGTATTAACGGTTTATCATTTCCAAATTGCAAATTGCAGGAATTCCGTGTATAATAACACATTGCTGTATATGTTTACATCTTTTTATTCATAAGTGCTAGAAATACCAATCATATATACCAGAAGAGAAATGTTCTACTGAGCAGATATACGTGTCGTCGAATAATATGAATGAAAATTTTATTTATATGTTTTTTCGTACGTAACAATCTATTTACAGATGATGAAATACATACACATCATAAAGGCCTTTGTATACAAAACAAAGATGTCAGAAAAAGCGTTTACTCTTACATACAATAGTCTCATAATTTCTTCTTTCTAAGAGTTACTACATTATCTATAATACTAATTTTCAAAGAACAAACGTGTTTTATATATATCACTTAAGAAATTGCAATTTACAAAAAGATATATAATAATTCGTTCTTAGGAATGGATAGAAGCAATGCAATACTATATGGAATGAATTAGTACCATTGAATTTCAACAATAATCAACAACCATTAAAACTCACAGAGTTATAGTACACATTTGGAATATTTAAATTCAAGCATTTGAAATTTGCTACGACTGCTGTCTCTCTTTCAGTGAATTGAATAACGATCAAATTTTCAAGTTTATGCGACTCGAACGAAATTTCGTCTATCTTCATTTATATGTTAATGAAATCTAATTCTCTCTCGTTGAAAATATTTCAATCTAGAATATATATGGTACATCTCTATGCGTAACTAGACACATATCTGTCTGTGAACAAGGAAATAGACAGTCACCAAAACAGTTCCTTCTCGATAAAATACAAATTACTTTGCATTCTGACGAGTGTTGTCTACGCAGTTGTTGACACAAATCGAGATAGATTTGCAAAGATAAAAAGTTATATGCGACGCTATCGTATAATCATATATTAAGATGGAACATTTAACTCGCTCAACCGTAGTCGACGCTCAGAGCACTGAGCCCTTTCTTCTTTATAGCCTCTGCCACAGCTCTTTCAAGAAAGTTCTCCTGCTGATCGCTCTCATCTATCTTATCCAAATCCCAGTCGAACCTGTTGTAATCCTCTTCGCCTTTGGAGTCATTCAATCTCAATGAACTCGCAGACGTTGTGGCTATGGAATTCTCAAAACTTTCGCTGTTCTGCGTGCGATTAGAGGGATAGGAACACTGCACGTCAGTGTACTCACTATTGGTCCAATAGCCCGGAGCTTTGTCACTGTAAAAAGCATTCGATTGAGAAACAAGCCCAGCGGACTGTACTAAGCCGTGATTGCGAATCGCCATTAAAACTGCTGTGTCCTCCATGTCATTGCCCCTGAACAACTGAAATCTGGACTCTTCCAAGGAATAGCTGGACGATGTTACCATGATGTAGTTTTCCAACACTTTGTTGATGGTATTGTCCACGTATCCCTTGGCCACCTGACAAGCCTGCCACCTCTTCAATTTTTCTCTAGCTTGTCTCTCCGCGTCGTCAAACTCTACGTTCTCTGTTTCTTGTACTGTCTCCTCCTTCCCAACTGAATTCTTCTCCTACGAAATGAACGCATAAACAGTACATTTTGAAAAACCAAAGGACTACGTTTTGCTAATTTCCCTTCAGATGGATAAAACGTACAATTAACATACATTCATACATACATACATACATACATACATACATACATACATACATACATACATACATACATATATATATATATATATATATATATATACACACACATATATATACTCAGAATTAAAATGAATTATTACGAATATACTCAATAGTTACCGTGTCCCAAATCGTTTCGCTGATTTTCAGCCGCGTGCACTGCCGTTTCGGAGGTGCTGGCCTTTCGTGATCGTCGGTATCCGACTCTTCGATGTCGGTCGCCATTTTCTCTATTTTACGCAGAACTGTGTCCGTCTTCTCGACTCCGAGCCTCAGCTGGATAACTCCAACAACGGTACTAGTAAACGATCGTCAGACAGCGAGCGGCCTGGCCGACGTTGCAAACATCCGCACCACTTCCATCGATGTCCCTTGACATCGTTCCCTTGGCACGGCGATCAATCTCCACTCGCGCGTGTTCGATCAATTCGAAATCGTCCCGGCGCGGTCACTGATCGCACGCTGATCCTCGCGACGCAGGTATCCTCGTTGCGTAAACACCAAGAAACGATTGCGAGCAAATTAGTCGGGAACCCGTGGAGGAACGAGTGCCACACATAATCAAACGGAGCGAGGATCGTTTTGACAGCTTCAAAATGGCTACTTTGTCATTGGAGTCGGTGTGAAATTCGCGGAGGTGAACATTCAAACGTCGTTTACCCGGGGTGAAAGATTGGCAAGAGCGAGACAGTTTCCGAGAATGTCACGAGCGAAGTCGTGAAGCGAGGCACGCCCGGTGGCAATTTAAACTGAGGTTGATCTGCCTGCGGACGGTGTTTTGACTGCGGCACTACTTTTTCAAAATGGCGTAGAACATGTGTTCGCAGTGCTCGAAGGGACTTTGACGTCTAGCTCTGTCAAGCGTGCCATTTACCAATTAGCCCGAGGTGATTCCGTTTTGACATTTTCGTTGTAGCGCGTCGTTTGACATGGCAATTTGCGGAGAGTATATTCGCAGCCAGTTCCCCACGATAGACGACGACCTGTACCAGTATGTGGAAGGTATGTTTCCGAGAACTAACCTAAAAGTTGCCGAAACATTTGTTATTTCATCTGCAAATGACACGCGTGTTTCGATATAACGTGAATATTCGTGTCTGTAAAGGTATCCTGGACAGCTCGAAGGATGATTTCGAAGACGGTGACGAGGTCTACGAAGCAATTGGACAGGTGCTACACGAGGTCGCGGAGAAACCAGAGAATGAGGTTAGGTCTGTAAACGTGTTCACATTTGTCACTTTTCATAGTACTGTCAATTAGCTTTCTATCAACAGCCCGGCTTTTCAACCTGCGGGATCAATTTCGATTTGTGATTCTTTTTGATATTATCGCGTTCTATCGTAACTGTTTGTTTAGCTTTCCAATTTTAAATTTTTCTGCACAGGCAAATATGCGTGAAACTGCTGGAGATGTTAAAGGGCAATTCAAACGATGGAAATGTTGAAAGGAGAAAAAACGGTGTAAACAAGGTACTGAATGCCCCTGTACACTTGGGTACTATGGCTGCTACTTTGGAGGCTCAAGTCGAGCAAATAAAGAGCATATGGGTTACCACGAGGGACGATGCTATGGTAAGAATTAATTCTTGGACTTAATGATGAGAATTAATTCTTATATTTGAATAGATATTATTACCAATTTAAATCAATATTTGGATATCATTCCGATTGAAAAATGATTCTTCCATAGAAAGTAGATGCCAAGAAGTTGGAGAAGGCAGAGGCAAAATTGCAACAGAAGCAAGAAAAGAGAAGTAACAATGAATTAAGTGGACGAATTAACGCCATCACCCAAGGTATAGAATCTGCCAGTGCAAGTCAAATGACGAGTAAAAAGGACAGTAGAATGGAAACGAAAGGCAGTGTAAATAAAGCTCAGGACATTAGGATAGAAAACTTTGATATAGCATATGGAGATAGAATACTATTGCAAGGAGCTGATTTGACGCTTGCATTCGGTAGACGTTATGGCCTTATTGGTAGAAACGGACTTGGTAAAACTACGTTGTTAAGAATGATATCTAGGTACTAAAATACGTACTAACCCATAACAATTCTTTATTCTACTTGTTTTGTTTAATTCATTAAACGTCATTTTATTCGTTTCAGCAAACAATTAAGAATACCATCCCACATAAGAGTTTTACATGTAGAACAAGAAGTTGCTGGAGATGATACCTCTGCCCTAGAATCTGTATTGGAGTGTGATCAAGAGAGGAGTATATTGCTTAGTAAGGAAGCAGAATTGCAAGCGGCGATCGAGAAGGACGGTGGTAAAACAGGAGATGCATTAGGCGAAGAATTAGCTAGAGTATATGAGGCAATGCAGTTAGCTGAAGTAGATAAAGCACCTGCCAGAGCCAGTGCAATTTTATCAGGACTCGGATTTTCCGTCGAAAGACAATCATGGCCAACGAAAGCATTCTCTGGTGGTTGGAGAATGAGATTGGCACTTGCTAGAGCGCTATTCTCTAGACCTGACCTTTTATTGCTTGATGAACCTACGAACATGCTTGATATCAAAGCCATACTTTGGTTGGAGAAATATTTACAGTCTTGGCCAACTACATTACTCGTGGTTTCTCACGATAGGAATTTCTTAGACACGGTAAAAACTCTATTGCACTTTGTATTATTATTCGTACAGTGTAGATCGGTAAATTTAATCTTATGATATACTTAATGATAGGTTCCTACCGACATATTATATTTGCGTGGACAAAAAATTGAAGCTTATCGTGGCAATTACGAACAGTTTGCAAAAACTAAGGGAGAACGTGAAAGAAATCAACAAAGAGAATACGAAGCTCAGCAAGCTAAAAGAGCACACGTACAAGAATTCATCGATCGATTCCGGTATAATGCCAATCGTGCTTCTAGTGTACAGAGTAAAATTAAGATGCTAGAGAAATTGTAAGTTCAACAAGTCCAGTATGAACAAAATTTCACGAGGTCTATTACTTATTACAGATTTTATTATTTTTAACAGACCAGAGCTTAAACCAATGGAGAAGGAGGGGGAAGTGACTCTTCGTTTTCCAGATGTTGAACCGTTAAGTCCTCCAATATTGCAACTTAATGAAGTTTCCTTTAGTTATACTGGAGGGTCTGATAATTCGTGTATATTTAGTTCTGTGAACCTGACTGCTAGCTTACAATCTCGTATATGTATTGTGGGAGAAAATGGTGCCGGCAAAACTACGCTTTTGAAAATTATAACAGGTGCACTAAGTCCAACACGAGGCACGGTCCATGTCCATAGAAATTTGAAATTTGGATATTTTAGTCAGCATCACGTGGACCAACTTGATATGCGTGTATGTCCGGTTGAATTATTGCAAAATCATTTTCCAGGTATGAAATAGTCTATAACCTATATATAAATGTCATTGATATTGAATTGATTTTGTAATTTTTGTGTTTGATTGTATCAGGTAAACCAGTCGAGGAGTATAGAAGAATGCTTGGAAGTTTTGGAATAAGCGGTAACTTAGCCCTGCAGACTATCAACTCTTTGTCTGGGGGACAAAAATCTAGAGTAGCATTTGCGTTAATGTGCGCAGCAATGCCAAACTTTTTGGTACTCGACGAACCTACGAATCATCTAGACATCGAATCCATTGAAGCTTTAGGCAAAGCATTAAATACCTGTCAAGTAAAAAATCGTTCTTAGTTTATTCGCGTTTTATTTTAATTTACATTGTGGAAATTCTACTTTGTATAATCTTTCAGGCAGGCGTTATATTAGTTTCACACGACGAAAGATTAATTCGCATGGTGTGCACTGAACTTTGGGTATGCGCAGAAGGATCTGTTCGTTGCATTGAAGGAGGTTTTGACGAATATCGTAGGATTATTGAAAAGGAACTCGAAGTATAAAAATCGCTTTAATTTAATTGTATTATCATTTTCTGCATTGTCCCTAGTTAAGTTACCGATGTGAAAATTTCGATTAATTCAAACAAAACGAACGTTTTTTCTTATACCGGGACAATGGACATTTTTTAATTTATTTATCGATGATACGTGGATATTATATTGTCTGTTTTAAATGAAATCGTGATTATTACAGAATCATTGTTTATATTATATATACATGAAATTTGCAAAATAGACTGAGTCTTCGACTTATAACAATGTAGAATTAGGAAAGTTTCACATCGTTTAACTGCCAGCTACAATAAGCTATATCTAAAGAAATTCTGATATTTAATATTGTACATTAGTTAATAATAAAAAGTCGTTGTTATAAATAAAAGCATATAAGATTTTGTCCTTATAAAACCATTCAGAACATTATATTGACGAACATTGTATTATTTATATATGATAGAAATGCAGTTCTTTTCTTGAAATTTATACTGTTTCGTTTCATTAACATGAAAATATCACACGAAAAGTATACAGAATTATAGAAATTAAAAATATTAAAATCAACATTTTATTTTTAATAAACATAAAATATTCATAATACTTCAAAATACATAATAGTTGTAGTACTTTTGCTTTCTTTTTCTCGTTCAACTAAATTTTCCATTTCGTTGTGATAATGTTTTGAAAATGATTAAAACTAATACCGTAACATAATAAATATAACAAATTAGTTTCATGTGCCAAAGAAGTACTGTATTGTCACAGTTAACCTCCAGATGATGTGTTTAATGGTACCATTGTATTAGATATAGAAGACATTTGCATGGGTGGCGCAGGAGCTTGTTGTTTTGCAGCTGGAATTTTCAAATACTTCCATTATTTTTCTTTTGAGGAATCTTGATACAATTCAATAATCACGCAAACTATTTTAATAAATAGTCAGATCTAGAAGACGTCACATAATGCAAGCAATTAACTCAAACAAGCATATTTAGTGCAGTTTAAACAAGCACCTAGTGTTAGTTGCAGTTATAATCTGTGAATTATTTCTAGTTTCTTGATGTATTATAATATACAATAAACAAATAGATTAATCAAGTTAGTACGTGGTTTATTTCTCATATTTCATATCACTTTATAAATATACACATGCAAAAAAATAAATTTTCTATTCATTGGAAAGGAAACAAACTAATTGATTTACGGTATTACATTTTCAATACGGTGACTCACTGCCAGTAATAAATTATACAATGATTGATGGATGCTTCCAGGCATGCAAATTTACATAAATAACTCCGCAGTGTACTGTCTAATACTATGACTTGAAAAGAAATACGACTGACTTGTATGCGAGTCGTTCTTACCATTTCTGCTGCTGTAGACTTTCGTAAACCCCTTAAACTGTTCCGGCGGCGGGAAATTTGCGATAGAATGAAACATATCCGCGAATCGAACTTCCAAGTCTAGAATGCTCATTGTCTGTCCGTTGCGCATGGAAGAACTCCTTGTAGGAGGTGTTGGCGGTGGCGGTGGCGGCGGAGCCAGTCTTTGATGAGTAGGAGCTGGACGATGTGGAAGAGGCGGAGGCGGAGGTGGTATACACGGGGCGCTAACTGTTACTCTAGAAGGAGGGGGTGGTGCTACCCTAGTTGCCGTACTAGGTGTGCTATTCGATCTAGAAGTAGGTGGGGAAGGAGGTTTCGCAACCGGAGGCTTAAGAATTCGATTCGTAGGCCTCGGTTGAGTCTCGTTCAAGCAATCCTGAGACTGATGAAGGGAAGGTGGCGTTGGAGCAAGAACAGGAGGTGATCTAGACAATCGCATACTTTGTGCTCTTGATACACTTCCTCCGGTTAAGTTCAATTTCTTGGGAGGTGGTGACGGTTTGTGCAATGTAGACGATGACGTGGAAGGTGGTTTAGGTGCAAGTGTAGGCTTTCCAAATCCTTTAGGTGCTTCCGTGTTGGAACTGGCGGAATCTGTAGTACTTTGTCCTGGCATTGAGCTTGCCTTCTGAAATATTAAAAAATCTTAAAATTTGTACCATAGTGTATATAGCGTTTCGAATATTTTTACCTGAACAAATAATTGTGGCTTCTGAGTGGCTGGTGGTGGAACTGGTGGTGGACCTCTTTTTATGCTAGGAGCAGTCGATTGACCAAAGTTTGTATTATTTACATTACTATTGTTTTTTTCACCTGAGGACATCCGAGATCCTATGGGCTTTAATTTAGGCATACCAGTAGAAAACAATCCACCTAATCCTATAGGTCCTCCATTACTTGCATTGACGCCACTGTTTGCTACATTGGAACTATTTTCTTTGCTGTGTAAAGAAGAATTTCCTGGTTCACCTCTAACTCTACCTGAAATAACAATGGCAATTGCTACGGCTTGACTGTTGTTTGCTTAAAAGAAGTACATGTTGCAACGTACCACTAACTGCTGGTGCACTCTTATCTACAGTTACAGTTTTTTTTAAAGTTTTTCCAGCTCTAATTGACTGTAGAAGCAGATTCCTGTCCTGATCGGCTACGCCAGGACCAGATGCATTGAAGACAGGAGGCGGAGGCGGAGGTGGAGCTGGCATTCTTGTTCAAGTTTTATAAAAAATACTTGCCTCCTGTTGAAGTTGTTGCAAAAATGAAATGTATCAATTCAAGTAAATCTGAATCGCGTCTCTCATCATTAAATTGAATCATATATCGTCGGCAGAGTGTGCAATGGCTGAAATTCTACGAGATAAGATTAGACCTCCTACATAGAAAATATGACATTAGGTTAGTGCAGAAATAATTTCAATATTTGCCTCGAAATTCTATATTTCCGTCGGTAATTTTTACCGTTAACAGGAACGTTTGTTACAAGTCTGAAGAGGGTGAAACTGCAAACAATTTACCTGGAATTAATAAAACGATCCTACCCCCGGAGCGGGACGGTCTTTGAAACTACCGCACTTTGTTTCCGTTTCTGATTCACTGTGAACGAACAGTATCCACATTCCAAAATTATCCAGGACCAATAACGGCCGGACGCATTGACGTCTTTTTACGCGTGAAAATTAAATATGGGTGGTCGGACGTACAGGTGACTAAATTAATACACATCCCGATAAAAGTCGACAGTTTGTTTATGGGACTGACGAGTCATACTCGATCAGACATACGTACGTCGAATACACCTGAATGTACCACACCTGGCATCTACCGAAGTCATACTACCGAAATGAGAACAGTATCGTTCTCTTGTAGCCGTGTCATTATTGGTTGTCGAAAAGAACAACCAATCTTGCATCTTCGCCTTCCGCTATTAGAACGCACACCCGTTTTCAAACATTCCAATCATAATTCCATTTGTTTGTGCAATTGAATTATTATCTTCAATAATAAAAACGTATATTTCTTTTGATGTATCAAAAAACTGACAAACGGTTCTCACAGAGAAATTTATTGAATGCAAAAGTAATATTTACTATGTTACTATGTTGCGTATAAAGTAATACTGCGCGTTACGACGAAAAAGAAAAAAATTGATATATATATATATAACTTACAAAAATGCAATAATGATAAAGTACAGATACAGGTGATGGAATAAGGTTTCTTTCCTAAAAGAAACTCCCGCCACTGTACAAATAAATAAAAGCAATGAAACATCTTACCTTCTAGCTTTTATTCTCTATACGACTTTATCCAATATACGCCTGAAAAGATTAATCAAACGCAACACGTCGTCCCTATATACTATAAAAATTGTTCTATTATTAAGGTGAAAGACTGAACATCTCTAAGAGTGATAATATCAAAAACTTGTTTCTTTATAAGTGTAAAATTCATTTTGTGCAAAAGATCTTTCTTCTTTTTTTTTTTTTTTACAATATACAGTTATCATACATATTTACATAGGATTCGTTTGTCAATACAAAAATAGATTATATACTATATTATGATAATCCCTGTAAAAAGTTTCCCCTCCTTTTAGCTTTGTCGCAGAAAATAATTACAATTTTTGCAAATTGTTATAAACAACGTAACGCTACTTTTAAATCTTTCATTGATCGTAACAACCAACGTTTCAACCAACAGCTTTGTTTATTCCTAAACCTTTCAAGTGAAACATGATTCTTTTTCTTTTTTTTTTATTCTTTCGCTACATGATTCGTTGGTTCAGGTTTTATCTCGTCCATCTGCTCAGAAATAACGATATCAGACTGCTCTGTGTCTTTATGTAGAGCGATAATAATTTTTTCTTCTGCGGAAGATTGACTGTCAGAAGAACCTTCTTGCGTCGAAGTAGCTGCTTCCTACAATAGAAAGGAAGCTATGAAAAAATGATAAATGAACCCGTTTGTTTCGCCTTTCCATATTTTCATCTTTCTCATTCGACTCTCTAAGCCGGATAAATCTCAACTCAAAGTTAGATTACAATTCCTCTTACCGTACTTCGAATCTTCGTGTGTGTTTTTATATGTTTCGTCAAATGGTCCGATCGCATGAATTTTTTAGTACACTCAGGACACTGGAATCTCTTCTCACCGGTGTGGGTTCTACGATGCCTCTGAAGTTCGTCCGACCTAGTGAATTTCTTACCACAAAATATCCAACTACAAACGAACGGTCGTTCTCCAGTGTGCCACCTCAAATGAGCCCGAAGATGGCTCGTCTTCCCATATACTTTATTACAGCCTGCTATGTGGCAAACATGCTGCCGTTTCCTAGTCATGTCTCTGTTCCTATTCATGTATAAATTTCAATTTACAAAACTTATTGCAAATTTGAATAAATAGCAAATACTAGCAATCTTACCTATCGCCATCTCCGCAATTGGGACATGTGCAAGCGACCCTTCTACGATGTTGTTTGTTAGAGTCCGTTTCGATGTTCGCTGATGTGGCCGTGGTTACTTGATGCTGGTGCGACGTAGGCGTAGGCGTCGTTAATGTGTTATTTGACTGAAGAGTCTGCAAGATTTGCCATTTGGTCGAGTCGTTCGAGTCTAATTGCACGGTTGGAGCGGCAACAATCGGCGCGGTTGCTGTTGCTGGTAGCGTTTGAACAGTAGCCGGCTGAAGAGCACTTGCTGGTATGACTTGCACATTTCCCAGGCCTGGAATATTTTGCACGGGTATCGACTGAAGAAATCCATTTGTCGCGTTCATTCCACCGGCAGGTTGAAGTTGCATTATGCTCCCGCTACCAACGCCCCTCATCATGTTACCTTGTTGGGTAGTTAGATTTGCTAACGCGGATGCAGGAATAAGAGTTAACTGTTGCGCTTGAGTTCCTATAATATACATATCAATATGACTGTAAGATTAATACAGATAATGCAGATGGAAAAAATGACAAGTAAAATTGGTCAACGTGCCTGCAATTGTAATAGGCTGGACTGTAGGCTGTGTTGATTGAGCTGCAGGAATATGTATAACCTGGCCGCTAGCTAATTGTCTAGCGTCAATACTGGTTACTTTTATATCACCTTCGACTGCCTCCGGTGGTCTTGTTAAAGCTGATAACGTTTGTACATCGATTTTCTGTCCATCTTTTGTGGTAATTACGTTACTGCCTCCTTGTATTGGTCTCCCAAGTGCACCAATTCCCAGTACCTATAATACATTTAATAACAAATTTAAAAAAAAAAAATAATAATTTCAGTCTCAGATCAACTCGTATGGACGTCCAATATAGTCTCGCTTACGAGTTCCAATACAAATTATTATAGTGTCAGTGTTAGTGGAAACAAACGCTAATTTCGTACCTCAACACAAAAAAAGAATACCGGAATGAATACATCGACTAACCAACACCAACCTGCGGGAACCTCTGAGTACAGTTCCCAATTTTCCAACCAAACGGAAACAAACAACTCCACCAAATCATACATACTCCCACGCAGCACAATTTGATGCACCACCTACAAAAGAACCTACTAAGCTATCATCATTCACGCAATAGACGACATAAGCCTCCAAGACTATGCTCTTGCAATAGGGAAACTAATCGGACCCAAATCAATAAGGTACATCTCCAAAATCTCAAACAATCAAATTTGCGCATATCTCGACAAAAAAGAAACTATGCTACACCTAACAAATCTGCATAAAACAATAACGGTCAACAACAATACGCTAAACCTAAGACCAATGTTAACTCCGGCCCAAAGAGTAATTCTATCAAACGTTGCCCCGGTCATACCCAACTCAAAATTTGAAAAAATTTTCAAAAGAAACAACGTCAAGCTATGCTCCAGAATAACAACCCTGAGAGCAGGAATGACCGACCCGGAATACACCCACATTCTCAGCTTCAGAAGACAGGCATACGTTGACCCCGACGACATTGGAAAAATCCTATTCCTAATAACTTTTGAAAATACATCTTACCGAATTTTCACCTCCATTGACAGCTTTCTTTGCTTCCGATGTAAACAAGAAAGTCACTTAGCGAAAAATTGCCCGCAAACCCAAAATTCAAACATAACTGATACGACAATCCCAAATTCAAATACAACGATTCCCATACCAACTCAATCCTCCAAACTGCCGGTAAAGAAGATCCACATCACTACCGAGACAAACATCGACAATCCTAATCAATCAATGAACCTACAGAGCAATCACAAATCCTTCTTAGTTCCAAAAGATCACTGTCACAATCATCAGTTGACGACAAACCGGACTATGTTAGCTTAAACGACATAGTCTCCATGTCTCCACCAATCAATCCACAAAAAAAAAGAATCACAATAACCAAACTAAAACCAGTTCCTCCCCAATCTCCAGTTTTCGATTCCGTCAAACTAGAGGAAATGTTAGCAAAAGAAATAATAAATAAAAAAAATCCTTCACCCTCCCAGCTAAACTATTCCCAGAGCAAGAGCCTCTTCCAAAACACCTTTGGATCAGTGCACTCATTGGAAATCGCAAAGAACTACACCGATAACATTCCGACTCTTGTTAAAACTCTTGAAGAAATATACCCCCATCTAAACGAAAGAAGCATAAAAAACAGAATACATCGACTCCACAAAAAGCTCACCAAACCGACTGAGACACCTGAATCGTTACTTAGCTGCTCATCTGAATCTGACATCGAAAATTCGTAAGAGCCATAATCCAAGCATAATCCAAATCCATAAAGGAATCAACCTAACAAGCAAACATAAACCTAACTTCTCAAAATGACAAACAAAAAGTATTAAAAAATCTCAAAAACTTCTACACATATATCTAATGGCACCGTCGTCGCTAATGACCCCGCTGTCGATGCGACGTTAAAAAAAAATAGAAGAAGAAGAAGAAGAAGAAGAAAAAATAATTTACTTTATGAATATATAAAGTTAAATATATTTTTTATGAATCTATGTATTATATAAAATATTTTAAGATTTCATTAATACCATAATGTGATTCATCATCATGAAATCATTATATAGAGGTATTACACATGTGACTTATGAATATATATATATTTGATGATTTTTACCTGAACGTTGCTTGGAGTTGTTACTGTTGTACTCCAAGTCGCTACAGTAGACGATGGAGCAGATGACTGTTGTTGGGCTTGTTGAACTTGTTGTTGTTGCTGCTGCTGTTGTATGACTTGTTGTACAACCTGTTGCACTTGCTGTTGCTGTTGCTGTTGCACTTGAGCCTGTGCCGCCTGTTGTTGCTGTTGCTGCTGCACGGACTGTACAACCTGTGGTTGAGCTTGTTGCTGCACAACCTGTGCTTGTTGTTGTGCAACTTGCTGCGCTACTTGCGTTACCTGCTGATTCTTACATCAAAATTGTTTTAATAAAATCATTATGTTGTTTTATGAAATAATAAATTATCTCTCTTATTTACTTGCAAGCTTTGAAGCTGTGGTAAGTTAGCAATTTGAACCTGTTGAATTTGTCCATTTGGCGTAATTATTTGAGCTACTTGCGGAATTTGCTGCAAAAAAATTTTAATTTAAACGATATGTACTAATTCTTCTCACTCAAAAATTTCAATACATATATTTCAACATACTTGCGTGATCTGGGGTATCATTTGCGTAGCAGGCACATTGAAAACACTGGACAATGCTTGAACTGGAAAATGGACAGTTTGATAAACCGTTTGTCCATTACTAGCAGTAACTGGTACTTGCACAGGCACAGTTTGTTGAACATGTTGCATAGGGAACTGAAGCGGTCTAACTTGTACACTTTGCCCTGTATGATAAAAAATATTAAATGAAATTTTCTTTAATTTTCACAAAAGCAATTAAATAATAATAGAACACGTACCTGTTGGCAACTGAACAGTTTGTGCAGTGATATTTTGTATGATAGAAGTGGGAAAGACATTAGGTGCTTTTATCAAACTAACTGGCTGTGGTGTAATAATAGTCTGACCATTAGCCAACTGTACTTGCTGACTAGCAAGTTGAACTTGTTGACCATTAGCAGTAGCAAATTGCATCGTGGGCTGGCTTTGATGATGCCCCCCTGCGGCAGACATAGCAGAGGATGGAATGAAAAGTGCTTCTTGCCCATCGATATTAACAGTTTGCATCTGTGGTATAACGCTGTAACTGAGTTGCTGTTGTGATTGCTGCTGTTGTTGTGCTTGTTGCTGTGTCTGCTGTTGTTGAGTCTGTTGTTGCTGCTGCTGAAGCGTAGCTTGAGCTTGAGTACTGATCAACTGAGCACCCTAAAGTAATTAATAGATCTTAAGAGAAGAAAGAATCAATCTATTTATTATTATTTCTAAGGTCGCAATGCTCACCTGTAAAAATTGTTGAGGCAAAGATTGCACAGAAATAGTTTGTGCTCTCTGTTGATCATGCTGTGGTTGTTGAGTCTGTAAAGGCACAAAATTTTGCAATTGTTGCAAAGTAATGACTTGTGGTTGTTGCTGCTGTGCTTGTTGTTGAACATCCTGTTGCTGCTGCAACTGTTGCAAAACATTCGCACTTAAGAAACGAATTTGCGGTTGGGCAGTTTGCTGTTCCATTTGCTGTTGTTGCTGCTCAGTTTCGTCCTGCTGCTGCTGCGTTTGCAGGAGATCATGATCTTCGATCTCCTCCTATGAAGAAATTACACCCATTTCATCATTTCCGTTACACCATACTGTTATGAAAACAAATTTTTTCAATCGTCTCACCTGACTGATGCTTCTCCCATCAACGCTTCGTTTCATGATGAATATAAATTCAATATATTCTTAACGTAAACAACGCTGAATTTACGTAAGTTACCCTTATGCTAGGAATCCATCCTTCGCTATGCCAAACAGGACAGACCACTCGGCCTGCGGTACGTGAAAACACTCACTTGGAGAGCTGATCTAGAAAGTTCATTTGCTGATCAGACTCGTTTTATTCAAGTTTTATTCAAGATTGTACAAAATACGAATCTCCACCGACTTAGCTACAACCGTAACTACCCGGCTACTCGAACACCGCATCTGGCCCCGTTGTTCTTTTTCCTTTATCTCGTGTCAATGCGGCCCCGCGCGTAGGATTCAGAGTATTCGGCGATCGAACGAGAACGAATCGATCGTCCGATCGTCGAACATGAGCAAGAAACATGAATGACTACTCAAACGATATCGACACGTGCGAAGACCGCTCTCTCCGAAGACAAAGAAGGCCAGAGAGCCTTCTCCTCGAGAACCCAATTGAGGACCGCCTCTCTACGCCCCTGTTCCTGCCGCCCCACCCGCCGCGGCTCGAAATATTGCCCACCGTGGCAAGGACGCGCATAACCGCCGACATAGAGGCGCACCGTGTGTCGTCACACCCGCCCACTCGGTCGCTTGTCGACTGTCCGCCTCACCAACACATTCGCGTACCTGCGATAACGGGGAAGGCAGCCTCGCGATGCAGCCTCCACCCACTTTGCACATGGGACTCCACCTAACTCGCGAACAGCACGTGGCTCCTCCGTAGAAACGTCCGCACTCTGCACTCTCCCGCCACCCGATTTTTCGTCCCCCTGAGGACCGCGACGATGAACCTCTCGCGCTTGCTCACGCTTCCTCTTTCATCCGTCCGACCCTGTGGCTATGCCCAAGAGAACGGCCATCATAGAACACTACGGGCAACGAAACTAAAGTCTAAAAGAAAAATTGCACGTCGTACGTTACGAAAAAGGAAAAATAAAGTGGTTGGGTCGCTGATGCAGAGAGAAACAAAGAAACAGATATTACAGTTCATTGTTTCAGAAATGCGTTTACGTGTGTCACGGGCATGCATACGTCGAGTGTGCATGGTACGCGCGCGCGCGCATTGTTCACAAAGTGATCGGCGGTCGACGATCTACACTCTCTTTCTTTGGTCGATATACCTTTTTTGGTCTTGTTCGTTGTTCCCTTGCAATCGTTCTCTTCCCAGAAACAAAGCGCAAATGCACGTCGAAATACGGGACTCGACTACGAGTCTGCTATTCGTCACTTGTAGCACCGTAGTCAATTCCCTTGGTAACGCCAGGGAAATTGACGCCACGTTCGAAGTTGCCGCCAAAAGTACACAAATAGGACAAGCCGATATTCCCTCCTTTCACGATCGTAACAGACGAGGGGGGAAAAAATTCTTTGAGGTTAAGGATTTTCGTCTCGAAAAGACGTCTCGTACGCTGGCTTCCTGTCACCGTGGCACGCGATCCGATTTCAACGTGATTTCACATGTGCACGTAGACTCGCAACGTGTTCGTCGGCCGTCCCTCGCGAAAACAGAGCTGCGAATACCGCTATGAGAGGACTACTTTCGCCGTGGGGCGGTACACAAGGTGGCAACGTCGCCGTCCGCCGAATGATCGGATCAGGGCTCTGATTGGTCGTTGGTTATTCGCGATAGCTGGCACCGCGCGGAGGTTCGTTAGACAGGGGCGTACGCAGGAACCGTCGGACGCCCACCCCGTCGAAGAGGGATAAACGATGCACACCTCCTACTTTCTCTGGCCTTCCTTCCCCTCTTTTTACCAGTGCCCCCCCGGTCAGGGCCACGCTTGTGCAGGGTCGCGAACATCGGTATATCGTTGTTATATCTTTTCTTTCTCTCTCTCTTTCTCTCGCTGTTGGAAACGTTAACTGATTGCCAGACGCCGACGTTCATCCAGGAGAACGAGGGAGGAGCTGTTAGTACTCCCTCGCAATGCCGCCGCCCTTCTTTTTATAATCGGTAATAAGTTTCACGATCCGCGAACGCGAGCCTCTCCCTTGCTTTAGTTAACCATGTATGGAGCGATCGAGTAGGTTGCACGCGATCTAACGCCGAAGGCCACTTCAATCCGAAGGCTACGAGGTTAATATTTTTTTTCTTGGGGCTCGTTGGGCGTATTGATTTTGTTAAAAAGTGGGCATATCCCGGTGTGCATGGCAACAGCAATTTTTCAGTTACGTCTGAAAATATCGACCAAGTTTGATTCGATGTAGAAAGGGGTTGATGATGCGCGTGCAGAAAGATGTAAAAATATGTTTAAAAATTTATTTGATAGAAAATACACGTGTAATTCTACACCAGTGAATGTTATCCAGGGGTATATATTCAACTTACCGAATTTCTTTTTTTTAGAGGGGGAGAGGGGAGGAGAGGTTGTATTCTTTTGAACATTACAGCTAATTTATTGATTTCGTTGATGGATAGATACTTTGTTCATAGTGACAGGAATCACTTAGAGATATCTGGAAATATTGGTAAGGATTAATTGAGATTTGGATGAAAGGAGACTGATAACGTAGAAGACGATATAAAAGATAACTTATCTAGACGGATTGACACATAAGATAAATCCAATATGGCTTTTTATTAGTCAATGGTAATGACTAATGACAAATGAAATAAATTAATCTCTAACATCGGTCATATGTCGTGATTGCATGATGTTAGTCGCAATAAATTAAATAAGTAGTTACATTTAAATAATCAAATAACCTATATATATATATAGACTCTTCTCTAATATACATTAGCAATTAATGTAAATTATAAATAAATTCATCTTCGAGAATATTCTAAAAATAAAATCAAGCTTACAATCCAATGGCATGTGTAATTGTATCACATGTAAATCTAGATGGGGAATTGTTCACAGTATTTGACGATTTTGTTACAATTGTATAGTAACAAACTTACAATAAAATCGTATATTTCTTTATATGAAATTGCATCCTTTAAACTGTTAAGCTAGAGTTCAATTTTCTGTGACATCAATCCTTTGTAATTATGAAATGTATGTTTCATGATTATGATATTTGGCTTGTGACCAATAAGTAATCACAAGACTATTCGATACATTCGTGTATATAGTTCTCTGAAAATTGTACCGACTTGGTATACAACAGTCATAAATACATCTTTTGATCACATTGGTGCACTTGAGGACCTATATACAGATTAGAACATATTTGTTCTGTCGCTTAATGAAAACTGAAAACGCTGTACACAAAAATATTTACATATTAAAATTGAAATTCTTATTATGGTCGTGTCATTCTCTTTTTTCTTCGAAGTTGATCGTTAAATTAGTTAAGACTTGACGTAGCCGTAATTAATGTACATTTACGTGCATAAAATGTTCCTTTTCCTTAACTTCATCTCGTTCGTTTTGAGCTCGCAAGCTAATTGCAACGAAGGTAGAAAGTCGTTGTATAAAGTACGAAAAAAGACAAATAGGTCTATAAAAATCCTAAAATATTTGTACTAGAGTGGGCTACAATTGAAATTCAGAGTGAATAATGATTCTGTCATAATGAATTTACGTAGTGCTATGTTTTGAACATGTGAATTGCGTTTAGAAATATTTGCGGGAAATTGTACAATGCCGCACAGAACATGAACCTTTTTTACAGTCCACCGCCTGATCTCTCCACGCTGATCTGTTTCTTCAATACTTCTTTTTCGTGTTGCGCCTCTTCCATCTCTGCCATCCTTGCGAAACGCGAATATGCCACGTGTCCAGATTTGATAGCAGACATCATCTGTGTCAAATTGAAACAAATTAGTTTTAAAAATTAAAAACAAGAGGATACCACGTTTCATAAACTTGAAGATCACAGTTTTATAGTTTGGTACAAGAGCAGCATGATACTAGAATACTTTGCAAGGAAAAAGAAAAGGAAGCAGAGAGGTTCAAATATTCATAGAAATATTATGATCATAACATCAAGACAAAACACATTTTGATTAGTTATCATAATCAATCTGTATGTAATCAGGTCTAAACTATTCGTGCAACGAAAAAGACAATATTAAAAAACTAGTTACGTTAAATTATGAAAAAATAAAAGAACGTAAAAAAATGTTACGGGTAATCTGTCGTTATTCAACAGGTTTCTTTCGCGATTATTCTTTCTATTAGATGCTGAACTGATTCCGAATAATGTTAAAAGAATATTTAAATATATGCAAAAAAAATAATGCAACAAAAAGAAATTTGAAAGCAGCAGCAAGACTATATGACAAATCCGTGCGTGCGAGCTTTCACAGACCTGAAGATATTCGTCCAACTCGACCTGACCGTTCATATTAGTGTCGATTTCGCGCAGTATTTCATGAAGCTCTTCACCAGGTACTTCCTTGTCACCAAATAACTGCGAATAGTAAACAAAGACATTTCAATTAAACGTCTGCACTACGATTTACCTGCAAATAATCTTGTAGCTCCATTTGCCCATTGTAATTGAGATCAATTTCATTGAGCAAAGTGTGCATCTCGTCTTCATTCAGTTTTATTCCAAGTACCTGTACATTGACAATGAAACGTATAATAAATAAAGGAAGATAAAGTAACAGACTCGAGTAATTTAAAATCAACACTGTGTGTTCGACGCAAACCTTAAGTCCTCGTCTGATATCGTTAATGGAAACGTAGCCTTTGTTGTCTTTGTCGATGATCCCGAAACGTTTAATGTACAATTGAATTTCCTCCTTCGTGAGATTAATGGGAATTTTGTCACGGGATGCACGGTTAACCATTTGTCCCATTTCATTAGCGAGAAATTCAGAAGCCAACTTATGCTGCCTTTTTTTTTCATCTGGTGTCCAGTGTAATTCCTCCGCCATGATGTCGATGATAGCTGGAAGAGCTTCTTGTGCTGCCTGGACGTTCAAGAAAGCTAATCTCAATCTTCTTGCAATCATGTCAATCGTCGTTCTCGCGTATTCACGAACTCCATATCGAATCTAAAATTAACAGCGACTAGTTATTATAATGAGAAAAAATGAAAGAGATTATCAATAGTCAAAAGTGATAATCAATAGTACTTACCTCGGCATCGATATACGGAAATTCAGGATGAATCTTTTTACCTATGATCGGCCACCTTTTACCAGTGAGAGAAGCCATTTTTGCTACTGCAAATGCACGATCTCCATAACTTTTGGCTAGATGTTGCGCAACCTCACACTCCAAGCCAAAATCTTGTACCAATCTGATGTACATTGTCGGACTCCAACCATGAGCTCCCTCGAGGAGAAAACCATTTGTCTGACAGGGTCTTTCAGGTTTTAAATCGCAAGCTTAACGAATAAAATATAAATTAAAGATAAAACTTATGAAATTTTTAACACACGCATCGTGTATGTGTATAACATACCTTTGATAGCTGCGTCGATGGTTTCCTCGGCCATTGCCCTATACGTCGTCCATTTTCCTCCAGCTATCGTGATAAGTTTTGTGGGACTGACATGCACGATATGATTTCTGGCTAGAGATTGAGTGTTTGGTTTGTTCGGATCGGAGACGAGGGGTCTGATTCCACTCCAAGCAGACAATACGTCTCCGCGACGGACTTCAACGTCCGGATTGAGGTAGTTCTTTACTTCACGTAAAATGAACATGATTTCATCTTCTGTGGGTCGTGGATTATGCGTTACTTGACAGGGTAAATCAGTCGTTCCTGCGATCGTTTGCTTCTGCCAGGGTAGGAAGAAGATCACTCGGCCATCGCTCGTTGCTGGGTCCAGTAAACCCATTTGATCAGGACTGTAAACGAAATTTATAATTATACATAATTAATGTAAATCTTCCCAACACGTCTTGTAATCCACCTGTAATTATTCACCTGTAGTAACCTGGAAGAACAATGTGAACACCCGAAGAAGGACAGCAGATTTCTTTAACATCTTGGTCATCCATCTTCCTGATATGATCGGTGAATGGACCCGTTGCGTTTATTATCGCCTTTGCTTTCACATCCCACTGTTCACCTGTAAGTTCATCTCTCACGCGAGCACCAGTGAGGACCCGATTGCCGTCCTTTACAAAGAAAAGATAAACAATTTACTATCTTTCCACTTTCTTATCACGTGTGAATAGTCGGACAATATCAATGCCAATACCTTATCAAGACCTTTCAAGAGATTAACAACCGTAACATGATTTACGACTGTTGCGCCATGTCTTGAGGCGGTAAGTGCGACTGCCAAATTCATCCTGGCATCATCCTGTTGACCTGTTACACCAAAGGAACATGAAATTACAATATGCTTAAAAGAGTTGACAAAGAATAGCTCAGGGGAGGTAGCTCAATGGGAGATACCATCATAGTAGACAATTGCTCCCGTAAGTTTGTCCCCTTTCAACATGGGGAACAATTCCAACGCATTGCTTTTGCTGAGAAAGTACGACGACTTTACTGTCTTACTTCCAGCCACAAGGTCGTACATTTTTATACCGAACCAGTAGTAAGGAATTTGCCACCACCTGTTGAAAAAGCAAGTGGATGTTACAAAACGACTTTGGTCGTTGATTACGTATCAAATAAGTAAAAATAATTAAGAGAAAGCAACACACGTATAAACGGGCAACATGATAGGCAAAGGATGAGCCAAGTGAGGTGCGCTGTGTAACATAGAAGCTCGTTCGTGCAAAGCTTCCTTGACCATTTTGTACTGTTCTACGTCCAATTGCATTATAGCCTTCTGCAAGTAACGCACTCCACCATGGATGAGTTTTGTACTTCTGGAAGATGTACCAGAGGCAAAGTCATCTCCCTCGATCAACGCTGTTTTCAAGCCTGGAATTTAAGAGTAGCGTGTAATTAATCGACTAGTATTGAGTTAAAAAGAATGAAAAACAAGTTAACAAATTACCTCGTGTGCAAGCATCCAACGCGCACCCAGCACCCGTTGCACCACCACCAACAATGAGAACATCGTATTCCTCATTATTCTTTAAGGTCTTCACCTGTTCCTCTCTGGTTGGCAAGGGTCTTTTAGGTGGTCGTGGCTTCGGTACGTCCGCGTGCACCTGTAATGAACAAAAGAACAATAAATCAAACGAATCATAACCAGTTTTGCGTGATACATTGCACGTGAATAGTGTCCTCGCGCGAGCTTTTTGAATACACACGAATTGGCGCTGTTGTCGGTCGATAAAACAGTTGAAAACAGGGCGGGTAAGTCGAAATAAAAGAGCATTCCCCGCGTATTTATTAGTGCAGATTGAAGGCTATTCTTCAATTGTTGTCATATCGAACCGCAGGGCAATTATCGTAATAAACGACCCTATGCCAGTTGCCGCGTTGGATAATCAACTTTAGTCACCTCATGATAAAATCAATTGCTACGATTCGTATCAATCCGATTTGTTGAATACGATCAACTTCGATAGACATCGGTCTCGTGTCTATACTTTTACATAATAAATGAATAATTTTACATCGATCTTTTATTTTTATCCTCGTCAATTGACGATACGCTGTTTATTCACTAAAAAAAAAAAAAAGGTATATTTAGATGAGCTATAGCTTCGAGGAACGATCGTGTATCAAAATAGACGAGCTTGATGGCTTGTCCTGGGCTGGCACAGACCTTCGCAGTAGTGAAATTTTGGTACTCACGTGACAACTAACAGATCACGAAACACTACAACCTTGACTGCCCGCATAGATTATAGATAGTCGCGCTATAAGCTTAAGACCGTGATAAACAGTAGAAGCATTCATTGCGGTAATGTATTTTAAAACTTCTGTTTAATTGCGTTTCGCTGAACACTGTGCGAAACAGATTGTCGTGGAAAGAAAAATAAGAAGTACAATTGGAATAATAAACAGAGGTCAATGTTCGATTACAAAAAGCAAAAAAAAGAAATTACGAGAATGAAGAAATTACTCTTGCTGCGATATAAAAAAAAGAGTCCAACGCTTCGTTTCTAATGTATATAATTCCCACGACACGTGGACGTTTCAAGTGGAAATTTCCACAAATCGATCGAGATTTTCTAATGAAGAAATAAACAAGCAACGAACAAAGGATAAGATCGCAACACGGAAGAGATGTACGAACTGCATATCCTGTAGTGAAATATTTTCGCCATGATACGTATTATAGAATTTCCAAGAGGTTTGTTTTCTGGTTTCAATCCGATTGTGTCGCCACGTTTTTACAGACATGAAAACGGATTTTTGTATAAACAATATGAGAACGGATCATACTTACGGTACTATCGGACATTAATAGATAAGAAGTAAGGGCACTAGCACCAATGGCACTTGCACCCCCCACTAGCAGTTTCAGCGATGATGCCATCTTGCTTGTCGCTTATGGTGGAACGAATCTTTCTGGAAAAATCTGGAAATAAACGGTTCATTACTGATCGTTGTGCCGCAATTAGAGATTACGAAAGATGGAGAAAGAACTAACGAAAAGTACGAAGGGGGAAATGGCTGGTTGCTAGATCGGCAAAATTTCTGTTTGATCTATATGATAAACGTTCGCTGGGTTAGGGAAAAATGCTTTTACATAAGCTGATAAGATAAATAGACTATGGAATGTCGGATATCCACCGATCGATCGGTCACACGCAGTGTCCCTGATACCTAGAAATCAGTGAATCACCGTTCAGGTCATTCGGTGATGTATCAACAGGTGCAACGTCCACGAGTTGAACAACTATGCATTTAGAAAAGATGCAACGAAAGAGAAGTTATTGATGAAATGTCCGTAGGAAGATCGAGTCAACTACCTGCGTATCGAAATTTAATCTTCCTGGTTGGCAAGACAATCTAACACGTGTACAGTAATCTTTCAAGTACATATTAACTTATGAAATTCTTATGTAACATATATTGGGTATTAACCACGATATTAAGTATAATGATATTAACCACGAAAGTACAGGGATGGTTCATTGGCTTCCTCGCGAAAATCGTTAAGTTCTCAAAGTGATGCTTCAAAAATGATCATTGGCAGTCATCCCGGAATATTTTTATCTCAATTAAACGTGACATACCGTTTCACTGTCTCGTGTCATGTGACATACTGATGTGTCATGCGAAATAACATTATGCTTACAATTTTCACACATACAATGATGTAAGAGGGCTTACAACGTAGCGATCGGATCCGCGTGTGTGCGAAGTGAATTACACGATTGCCGTTTGTGCTATAATTATTCAACTGGTTCGAAACTTCTTATTATGACCGGAGAACAATCCCTGCGCTGATAAATTTGTCGCGTCTGTTTGAATTATCAGTTATGAAAAATGTATGCTCGATTGATAATGGTTGCGTTAATCGTAAAACTTGATGTAACACGCAAGAGACTGACGAAAACCACTGGCTGTTTTGTCAGTGATTTCGTCGAAACTAGAAAATAAGAACGTCCGAGAATCTCTCGCTAAGCATGTTACAACATAGAGTAACTAGATTAATCGATTTTTTAGCAAGTCAAGTCAAATCATGACAGCACGACAAATTATCGCGTTGAATAAAGAATGTCATTTATCAAAGATACAGTAATATGCTTCGAGCTTAAATAAAAAAAACATGGACGCAACTAATGCATTTTCTATTTTATCGACAGGTGAGTCATTTTTCCTCGTGTAAATTAACGATATTTTTATATTTGTTAAAAATAACTATCTTAATATAACCAATAAAAGTAACTAGATATACTCAATCGAGATATCGTATGTAGCAAAGTGCACGCATTATTTCTTTTCATAAGATGTTCATAGTTAATCGAGAATTATTTTAATTCGAATAAAAATGAAAACTTGAAGAACATGTAATATGCAACGCGTGTATAATCAAGAGGTCACTTGCTTTTTGAATAAAATATCAAAAAATAATTCGTATTATGCTATTCGATACTACGAGACCTTGATAGTCCCCTAAAACACGTGGAATTACGTAAGCCATGGCTTGTGTTAATCAGCAAAATTCTAATATTTTCGCGTCTTTACCGATCGCTTTTCTTTCTTTCTTTTTGTTTTCGTGAATATATAACGTGTAACATGTGTATAACGTGGATGAAATAATTTCACAAAAATTCGAAAACTGATCAGATCTGGTTGCAACTGTGAAGAAAGACTAGTCGAATCCGAAAGGGATAGTCTTTCTCGAGGTACATGAAATCTCGTCAACTCTCGCACAATTTTTACGAAATACCTTCAAATACGTGCACATTGTCATCACGCAAAGGCACAGGAACGATGTCGCAAAACAAGGTTTTAAAATAGCATCCGAACCTCATGCCAAATAGCTCGGAATGTCGTGTGTATTGTGACCGAGCTCATTATACAATGCGAATATATATCACAACATTATGAGTGAAAAATGGTAAAAAAATGTTCACTGATGATATTTGATCATCGTAACATAGACGAATAAACGAAATTTCGTAAACAATCGATGCTCGAATAAATTGACCGCCCTTAATGCACCGCCATCCCCTTTCGAGTTTCAACGAATGCGAAAGTTAGGTTATACGAGTTGGGTTCTCCATGGAGAAACTCACAGTTGACACCACCTTATTTTTCATCATCGAGGAAATTATCGTATAATTTGATAGGAAACAAATGACGTACGTATGATAATGATTTGCCGCAATAACAATAATTGACATTTGTTAACGACAATGCTACTCACTGTGAAACGAATTGATAGCAGCACGGGAGTGTTGAGGACACTCGCGCACAGTGGTGGTGAGTGTGATACCCGAAACTAAAAATTAACGACGCACATATTCGAAGTGGATGCCGGCGCACATTTCACTGACTCGCACGAGCGAATGAACCATGGTAAACGATCAGGCCGCACTTAATAAATATGCAAGCCGACATCGAGCTCAGCGACATCTCTCGTGCGTTTTTCTATATATCTACCACAATGGCGCGCTCGATAAACGTAAATCAGTAAATCATTTACTTTTTTTGTTTGTTTTCTGTACGGATAAAGAGATTAAATCCTAAAAAAAATATATTATACACGTATATTATAAAATATATTACACATTAATATATAAATATATTAGAATAATGGGTCTGTTCTATTTAAGAATATAAAGGATTCTCTTCAATCAGTTACAATATTGTTTTATATTTACGTTATTTTTGTACAAAATTAACGATCTCCTTTCACAATGTCAAAAAACGGATTAGTCAAAAATACTCGATATCTTATTACTTGTTATTTTGCAAAAGTTCATAAAATAGTGATTCTTTTCTTCTCAGTTATCTTGTAACTTACATATGAATTGTATATTACTCGTAATACCGGAAGTAAGACAATATTTTGTTATTTTACAGCGAAATCATTTCCAATCTCCATAAAAAAGAGACAGTCGTTTTTTTTTTCTTGAACGATTGTAGGAGTTGAATATACACGAAAGTATATTAGACAATAACAATCTGAAATCTTAATGCTAGTAACAGGTGGTTTCACATGTTGACTATGATCTAACAAAATAAGAGATGTAAACATAGTACAAATGCAGAAGATGTATGATGAACGGATGTACAATAAATAGCAAAAGTCATTGCAAAAAAAAAACAAAAAAAAAAAAAAGATCAAGACACACAACGTAGCTAAGATCTACTATTTACACAAATTGTTATATCAAAATATACGATCATTTTTTATTACACAATTAATTATGTTTTCCTCCCTTTCGTATCGTTTTCTTGAGCCTGAAATATGAGCTAAAAACTACACCTCGTCGGATGCAAGCATCTCTCTGTCAGTCGGTGAAGATGACTTTTCCTTTCTTTCGTCTTCTTTCATTTGAAGAGCAACGGCAGACTCGAGCACCCGTATCCTACCCTCGTGTTTCACGATCACCGCTTTCAGTTTTCGTATTTCTTCCGTAAATTCCTTCAAAAGTTCCTCCTGTGAAGCAAATACCTATTGTCAACAAATATTGCCAAAAAGCAAATTTAAACCAAATAACGAGTGACGTACAGTAATGCCTGCTGATGCTTGTGCATTCTGTGCAGAATTCGAGGAAGCAACTTTTGCTCCTTTGCTCAATATGTTTGACTTCTTATGTACTTTCAATTCGTTCTTTGCCACCGAGGGTTGATAACCATCTCTCAAAGAGATTAATATGGGATCTGCATCGGTTCCGTTCTCCCACTCTTCGGCAGATATTGCAGCAGTGTCACCTGGAGTATCAGGATACAAATCTTCTTGAAATAATTCTGACTGAAAACGAACAAATGATATTAAAACGATTAGAAAACAAAAATAGGCTGAATTATTCAATATTGAACGTATATGTATAATGTATAAATTATACCTTTCTCGGTACAGTCATAGAGATAACCTGGCAAAAGCCCGAGTTGTTGAGCCGGTAAAATCTAGTTATTTCACAGCTATTAACATCACAGCCTCGTTTTGGCATCATTCCTATACCTCGTTGAGGATCAGGAGTTTGAAACGTATTGATGTAATGAACAAAGGGAGGTTCAGGGGTAATTTCGAAATATCGAATTACAGAATCGCCTTTCCCGCATAAATACACTAAATTTGTGTCAGGATCGTACAAGGGAAACATAACACCGTTACTTGTATCCAATTCGACCATAACTATGGGTTCACCTAACATATCTGGAGCGCGCAGGGAATACTGCCTCTCAGACATTTTACTGAAACCTGTGGTAAAGATCAAGCCTCCCCTGAAAACATATTAAACACACATCTTTGTGGATACAAAATTTTAACATATGTTCATACGTACAAATATAAAAACCCTATAAAAATATGTATATAATTTAATAAGATATATGTTTGAATATTACTCTTACATAATTTAATAATCTACTGTTTTTTGAATTGTCTCATTCAAGTTAATCATCAAAACTGAATAACATCCACCTTGTTACAACATTTGAAAACTATCTTTCGTATCAAATACACACGTGTGAAATAAAACAAATAAAACAAATAAAGTGATCATTAAGGAATAGCATTGTTTGCACAATACATCATTATAAGTTATATTTGAAATGGAGATCAGTGCACCAGCTGATCACTGAATTTTGTAAGATATATGTACCTGAATCGATTTGTCCATTTCTCGAAACAGATATCAGCATTCAAAAATGCAATTAATAACGTTTTAAATATTAGTGTAGTTATTTCACTGTATTCTGAACTTATTTATCGACATGGATAAAATGTTATATTTTAAAATAATATACTTTACTTACTGAAACTTTTATGCAGATACTACACAGTGGACAACTTGATATTTGCATTTATTAAGCTGGCATCCTCCTGACGAGTTGAATTTTCAATCTTCAAGTTTTCCATTAAAAAATACCAAATCTCGCACTACACAAATTGGAAAGACCATGTGATAATAAAAAATAAATGTATTCTTAATGAGCAAATAGAAGTATCAATCACATGTCATTAAAATATATGTCTGCCACAAAAAAATAGTTGTTTTAAGATAAATATCACATTTATTCTAGGTACATTTATTGTGTAAAAAGGCGGATGTATACTGTTTGATGATTATCTAATGTGAAAGATATGATGATAGTGTTTTGCATAATCAAAGGTATTTGCTATTCCTAAATACGCATTTACTTGAAATTTGCAGATAACATTTATTCGAAACTTATCAGTATTTATATGCAAATATATGGTTTTAGAAATATTTGTGATTAAGTACATGTATAATTAAGAATTAAAAGGCTTTATCCATTACGAATACCCACTGAAAAGAAATTTACATACCTGAGGAAGATTGCACGGGTTGCCTTACTACCTTCATGTGCAATAGCCTCTTCCAATATCTCTCCAGTTCTTGGATCCAGAATTCGGATCTTTTTATCCTTACAAGTGGTAACTACTCTGGATCCATCCCAGTTCCAGCATGCAGAATAAATCATGTCTGGATGGCAATCTATTCGTACTATGGCTTCTCCCGTGCCTACGTTCCAAATCAATACAAGATTGTCAGACCCAGCTGTGAGCAATACATTTAGTGCTGACGGATGCCATAATACAAGGCCGACCCTGCGCTGATGCTGCTGGAGATCTACCACAGATTCCGTTAATGTCCTAGAAATACCACCATCAGGTATTTGCCACACTTTGACTACGCAATCTTCAGAACCTGATGCTATGACATTATCATTGTGAGGACACCAAGCAATGTCTAACACAGGACCTTTGTGTCCACCAACCAATGGATAATCTGCTGGTATTCGACCTACCTAAAACAATGTAAATGACTATGAGAACTACTTGTCAAGTGGTCCAAGGATATAACAAATGACACATTAGTACAATGCTTAAAAAGAAAAAAGAAGAATTTGGAATCTAATGTAATCAAAGAATGGAACTTACTTTGTTGTGCGGTAAAACTATGAAGGCACCACCGCCTGCGGATTCCACGATGATGGCGAGAAATTTTGGGTTCACGGCGCAGAAGGTCGAGTCCCATGAGGACTTCGACACCCTTATATTGTCATAACATTGTTCACGTTTCAAAGCCGTCCCGTACACGTGGCGGAACTTGCTGCTGCGCACCACACGAAAAGACATGTCTGCACCTACTTTCAGTGACAAGCAAAAAGTCAAAGAAAAGAAAGGAAAAAATGAAAAAAAAAGAAAAAAGAAAGAAACAAAGAAAACGACGGTTAACCTAAAGGATGAGGATGGGCACTTTTTTGGGTCGTGTGCCGGATTATTGCAATTATTTTAATAAATTATTGTTACGTGTCCAACGACAACGTGGGCGTCGTGTGGACCATCCCCGTTTTATAAATAGATTCCCCACCCTCGACGTGTCGAAACGAGCGCGACTCAAATAAGAATATTTTTCGAATCCTGGCTATTTTGCTGTTTATAAGTTTGATGTTCCTCTGCTCTTCCACCATCCAACCCCTCCACCTTCCCCCCTCCTCCCCCAACTGCCTAACTCTCCCTAGTCACGACTGAGGTAGATCCAAACCTCCAGGGCTACCAATTATCATGAAAATATATCGAAGATGCTTGCGAGATAGATCATAATCGATCGAGGCGAAAAAATAGATCCGATCCACCCGAAAATAAACTCTGACCGCTACTTTTGCGCGACGGATGATTCACCGAGCTGATCGTCACCGAGCATTCCTGAATTTACATTACTTATACTATACGCGTCCGGTGCCGTTAAAAGGCGCCAGACCGCCGACTGAACGATCTGTTATTTCGATTATTTTCGGATTATTCGCGAGCGTCGTCGGTTTTTTGACGTCGCGCCAACCGTTGTGCGGAGGCAATCCGAACGGGTGAAATCATCGAAAACTTCCACTGCTGCTGGAGAACGAAATTTAGGTCGCTCGCGCTCTCCCCCGGTTAGTGCATCGATCGAACATCCTTCGTTGAAACGAGAATCAATACGTTAGAAATCGGACCAGCTTCTTCGCGCTCAACGAGAACAGCATGCAATTAATTAAGCGGAGTGGAATCTCCCAGTTGTCTCACTGATTTTACCTTCGACGATTCAAGAAAGAGCATCTATCATTCCCTGATAGAGCGTGTCGCGTTCCCCTTTACCTCACCCCGGGCACGTTCGATGAAACGAGCGAGAATCTCATCGATCGAGAACGAAGACTGAATCGAAGATCGATCGTCTCTCGACGAATTGATTGGAGGAGCCGAAACAACTCTCAGGATACTCCCCTCGACGTCGCGAAATACAATCGTTCCGTGATCGTCAACGGATTGACGCCGACTGCTATCCTCTCGCGCTGACTGTATCTAATCTACCACGTGTTTGTAGACGGCGCATGCACACACGCGCTGCAACGATACTCAACGACGCAACTACGACAATACGGCGATTAATGCTGTTACACTATCGCGCGTTTTTACAGATAAGAATGCAGTTACCGCGTTCGACGGATGACTTTTTCTTCCTGGCCTTCGTGATCAACGCTCGCGGGGAACTTCAACGTTCCCGCCGACCGGCAGCGACGTTGCGCCGTAATTCGACGAACGACCACGCGGCAGCGCTATTGAACACGAAACGGCTGGATCATTTGAGAGCACCTTATTTGGAAGTGCGCACCCTGCTCCTGCGAATACCTACCCCCGGAACTCTACCTCTTCCGTCACATTATCGGTCACGTAGCGCGCGTTACACTCTACGAGATCCCGTTCCCCACGACTACGTCTCTACGTTTCAGCTTCGATAGTCTCTCGCTGTTCCGCGGCACTTGTGTACACGTAAATGTACAAGTAAAAATCGGGTTACGTACGCGCACGAGGCGGTGAAGAACGGCCGATCGATTCGCGAACACGCGGCGAACTTGTCGGTTCGCTCGAGGGAGCTCTTTCTCTCTCTCTCTCTTTTTTTTCGTTTCTCTTTCCCCTTTCTTTCCTTCTCAGAACAGCGCAGAGAACGCGTAGAAAGCGATTCTCACCGAGAGAAATTTTTTTCCGATGACAGCCGATGCACGCTTTTGGAAAAGAACTCTCCCCACCCCTCCCCAAATCTCACGCGCTAATGAGGATGACGGCTGCGCGCGCATCTAAGCGCAACATGGCGCGTCTCGGCGCGCAACGTTTAAATTTTCCCCGGGCCGTCTCTACGGTTGATCGTCGACCTTAGAGTATCAGTTTAGATTTAATTAGAGTTGATCTAGATTTTTGCTTTAATGAAAGTACTAGGAATTAAGAGATTTAAAATATCTTATCTTGCTTGTGATTGAAACGATTTAGTCCAATCAATCTCAAATGTCGATAATCGTAGTTGAGATTAACTTTGTTAACTCATCGATCGCGATTAACTGTTAAACTTTTATTCGATCGTTGACCTTACCGTCGTTTGAAACTTCGATCGAAAGACAACAGACAGTCGACAACCGATATTTTAATTCAGTTAATGACTAACGAATCATCGTTCATGATCGACCATTATTACCGACGAAATTGAATCTATGATTCATCTTTCTTTCAATGAAATTTTGCGTTCTCATCGTTGCTGACTTGTCAGTCCGATTTTCGAATGTGATCAAGTTAACGTGCTTCGTGAAACATACCAAAGAGCAAAGTGAAGTGATGAAGAAGCGGGGTGAAGAGGGAACGGATAAGGGGGAGGGGATATGCATTCGATTTGTTGCGAGTGCAACACTTGCTTTCGTATCATTCGTGACGATGTTCTGAAAAGTTGCATGTGGTCGTGTATGCATGTTTTGCTTGCGAGCTGACGATGCGCCTCAGATAAGAGAGTGAACACATCGGCATCGTAATATTCGACTGATTGAAATGGGTAATCAAGCGACACGTGTAGGCCATGTATCCGCGAAGAAGGCTGACGTTGTCACGCACACCGGCGAAAGTGCAAATAGCGCGAACAACCTCTCGAAGAGTTCCTCGGGGACCGAGTTGGAAAGCAACACGCACATGCAGTTCCTTCCGATTGAGAATCTGGCGAAGGTAAAGGGTCAGTTTGCTGCTTGCAGCGCGCGTTTTGAGATTACTATCTTTCGTAAATCGAACGACGACGATTCGCGTTCGATATCTCGTAGAGAAACGTCGATCGTCTTTTGGAAATATTAATCGTTGGAACATTAACAGTTGCTCAGCGTTTTGCGAATTAAATCGCAAATTTTTTTTTATCAATTTACTATCTTGCCATTCACTCTTCTTATAACAAATATATGCACGTAATTATAGGTTATACGAATAATTTGTATAACCGATAATCGTGCAACTGATGTAGTATAGATATAGCTACGGTAGATTCGTAGTTGCTTCGTAGATAATATTATTCAGTTGGAGAAATCATATTTAGATCGTTTCGTATATGAACAAATATAAAATCCTGTTTTCTAATTTAAAGATATAATATTAGTTAAAATTAGTTTTAACAAATGATATGTTACCAAAAGTCACTGGTTAAACCGTTCGTTTTGTATTGTAGATCTTATCTCATCAAACTCACGATGAAGAACGTATAAATGGAATTACAGCATCTGTGTTTCAACGCTATCTCTTCCCCAATTACCCGGAGTTAGGTGAAAAATTATTCAATCATCTTCATCACGCTGCCAATGTTAGTACCTCATATCTGAGTGCCAATTGTTTCAAACAACAAGCAGAAAAGTTCCTCGCAGTGATGAATGATCAAGCCGTACTGGAGAATTATGTGAAGATGTATTCAGATATAAAAGGAGATGGAAATATAAATCCAGATGGATTGAAGGCCTTATTGAACATTTCTTACGACATTTTTATGAGTAATAGCGGACTTTCTTCTTGTATCTATAAAGGTCAAATAATTGATTCAGCTGTCTCGTCATGTGTCAGTAAATTTAATATTTATCAGCATTTGTTAATCAAATTCTAATTGATAATGTAAAATCTATATTACAGTTCCATGGCAAAAATGCTTTGTCTGTGAGTTATGTGAGCAATTGGATTTGGCAGAATTGTGCACGTGTAATATATGGCCCTCATCGCTACATAATACACGTGCTAACAACTGCTTACAGAAATGGCAACGCTCTCTTATCTAAAGAACAGCCGCAACCACATTTGTTGATACCAACACCTATACTGGAACAACCAGACTTTCCATGTTTTCCTCAAGTTTTATTACCAATGAGCTACGTGTGGTTATTATCGAGCACGTTACCCGAATGTTATCTTCAGGTACATTCTTAATCGAAATTTGTTATATTTTATGTTAAATCATAAAATACTAAGATGAATATACGTTTAGGCAGATAATTCACCAAAAGATATTACTCATGCACTGATAGCTAAAAGAATGGGCAACCTGTGCCCTAGACACTGGACATTATTATACAACAGTTCGGAACATGGCACAGGAGCTAATCGCTTTCTTCACCATGTATTGGGATACAGAGGTCCCACTCTGTTATTTATACGAACTGTTAGTCCAAACGAAGATACTTCGCGTCCTATATATTGTATATGTTCAGCGATAGAATGGCGTGAGAGTCACTTATATTGGGGCGACGAAGACACTTTGGGTATTGAACTATTTCCTTCGTACAGGATTATTGAAAAGGGAGCTAAAGTATTGTATTTGAATACTAATATCAGAGGCTATCCTCATGGATTACGATTTGGAAGTAATCCTCGCTCCCCATATATTAATATAGATGAATCATTCCATTCAGTCAGTATTGCAGGTGCACCTTACCCAATTTCTAGCTTAGAAGTTTGGGGTTGTGGCGATGCAAAATTAAGGTGACGTATCTTTTTTTTTGTTCTTTTTCTTTTTTTAATGTGTCAAGTTGAGTAAATTTCAAGAAAAAAATTTGATATGTATTTTGCAGGGAACGTCAATTGGAAATTAAAAAGTGGCAAGTGAAAGAAGCAGAAAAACAAAGAATCGTTAAGTTAAGCGCTAGCGATTGGCAAGATCACCCTGATCGTTACTTACTTGAATTAGCAGGTAGGGCATCCTACAATGAATCAAATAAATAGTCGCAGTATAATGTTCTATTATAGCAGAAAATTAATTTAGGATTTTAGTATGTTATTTGTACATATGTATATATTGTCAAGTATATAATTGCTCGAATATGTACTTATGCTGTACGTGTAAGATTGCAAACACCATATTCGATTTACAAAGTACGAAGTACCATAGCATATAAACTATAGATTGTACTATTGAAAGGGAAAGTTTCTTAATTTATTTTTTATGAAGCTGTTACTTAAAATCGAAGTATTTACTTCAAAAACCTAATATATAATATATTTTTAAACAGTACTTTCATGCTCAATAATATTAGCATAAAGATTACAAAGCTCAGGTAGAGCTTTGAGCTAAAGATATTCAGGATAAAAATGTGCTATCTTACATAGTAATGATTAAAAATTTACAGTATAAGAATCAAATAAATGACTTACACTGTAGACTTTTAATAGAATATTAAATATATACATATACTTGTTGGAAATGTAATAACTACATAGGTGCTATTGCACATTTTTATATGAGTTTTAAATAAATGTGTTTTAGTTATGTACGTTAAATTTGCGCCATCTAATTCAATTAACTCAGATTTATGTAACTTTCGGAATTTTGTATCTCTTTGTATTTTTAAGCTGTGACCATTATAGCGTGCCTTATATAAGTACTTAAAGAATATAATGAAGAGCGTCAAATATTAGTATTAGATGCAGTTATGCGAGAAATGAAATAAAAATAGTAAATATGATTTGACGAATCAGTTGCGTTCAAAATCTTGTTACTTGTTGAAAAGGAATAGCTATTGTTCGATAATTTATTTTGAGTGAATACGTTTTTTTTTTAAATAAAATTTGTATTTGAATGAAGCATAAAAATAGCGAGAAAAATTTTTTATTTCATCAGTTATAGTAATATATGAACAATATTATTTTTTGTTTGAGAAATAAATACGATATTTAACATGTTATGTTTTTTTTTCAAATCCTGGAGTAACGTTCAAGTTTAATATATTTTCTTATTTCGTCCAGTTATTTCCTCGGTAACCATAAACAATGATCGCAATACTTTTTCAAGAATTTATTGCTTAATATAACGATATTTAATGTAATATATATTTCTACAGAGAGACGTGTACAAGATCATTTATCATTCCGAAGACAATTTAAACATATAACACGTATGCATAAACTGAAATAATTCCAAAAAATTTACTAATAACTATGACAACTTACTTTTTAATGTCACTGAACAGAGGAAGGTGAAGGAAGAAAATTTGAATATAACTTTCACAAGTACCTACATCGATATAAATAGTTCAATAAAAACATATCTATCAAAAATCATTGATGCGATTTCCAATATTCACTCACACATACTGCAAAAAACTCTATATATCAGGAATACCATATAAGACATATTTACAATTATTTAAATAAATATATAAAACTATATTTTTCTAATAGATTTTATATATATTATTTATGCTACCTGGTGATACGGGATGTGCTATGAATGGAAGATAAACAAATTCAACATATTCATCTCTAGAATGAAACGATCTTTTAAAACATTAAGGTAGTACAAGTATCCTTGGAATGCTGTTAAGCAAAGCGGTAAGTAAAACCGTCCGTATGGAATTGATAACCATCAGATTGAAAGACCGTTTGAAACACTATATTCGGATCAATATCTGTACAGAAAAAAACTGTGATTATATACTGAATGATAGAGACTCATGTCAACATAAATTTATGATAGATTGTACGAACCTTGGAATCCACTGTCAACATCGTCAATGTCATGACCATTATCATAACGCGATCGTTTCTTAGGGTCAGATAAAATTCCATAAGCTTCCCCAACTTCCTTGAATTTCTTTTCTTGTTCTTTCTTTTCCCCTTCCGTTGCATTAGGATGTCGATCTGTATGTAATAACATAAAGATAGATCAACATAATTAAGATAAAACGAATTGAAACGCATTTTAAAACTTACCGGGATGATGCACCATCGCTCGTTTCCTATATGCTTTTTTGATATCATCAGTAGATGCGTTCTTATCAATACCTAAAATCTTATAGTAATCTTTCCTCTTTGACTTTTTCAACGCTAGTTTAGCTTCCATTAATAATCGTTTATTATCTGTCAACGTTTAAACATTCATCACGTTACTGTAAAACTGTTTGGTATTGTAAAATGTGTTTTTTATTTACCTGAGCTTTTATCCATTTTATAAGCCTTTTCAAGATCGTTAACTGCTTTCTCATATTCTTTAAGCTCCATATAAGCAGCTGCTCTTCTCAAAAGTGCTTTAAGGTAATTTTCATCTAGTTTTAATGCTTCCGTACATTCTGACACTGACTCGTTTAATCGATTTAACTGATAGAGTGACGAACAAAATTAGCGATGGTATTTTCAAAATTTTCAATAAAATATAAAAATGTAATACCTTTGCTGCGACCGTTGCTTTATTAAAATGGAGTTTGGCATTTGTTAGTATATTTTGAGGATCTATAGTTAAAGCTTCCGTATATAATTTATATGCTTTCTCATATTGCTCTTTTTCGTAAGCAGCATTTCCCTCTTCCTTTTTCTTCTTTAAATTCTTAGCTCGTTTATATATTTCTAACGCTTTGGCATGATCCGGAGCCAGTCTAAGTACTTGCTGGAAGTGTGCAAATGCTCTGTCGATATTATCTTGGAAATACAGGCACATGGCACGAACATATATAGCATCTGCATTTTGCTTATCAATATGCAAAATATCACTGAAATATTAATAATATAATATAGAATAATTTTCATTACTTTTAGTTAAAAATAAAGTTAGTGATATACTTTGCTATCTCCTGCGCTTCCTGGTATCTTCCCAAGAATACCAAACATTCTGCTTTAGTTAATTTAAACCTTGTACACCGAGTACTCACATCACAACAACGATCCATACAATATACAACCTGTAAGAATTACAATATGTCAAACATTCTTAGCCGTTATTAGTACATGCTTACTTAAAAGTTAAATTACAAACCTTACGATAATCTTTAGCATTGTACGCAGCATCTGCATCCTTGAGAAATCTTTTCACATATTCTAAGTCTTTTTTCTCTGTGGTAATGGCCTTATTTTCAAGATCAACTTCTAACAGCTTGGACAGAGTAGTCTCGGCTTGTACTATGTCCCCCAAAATCAGGCAACATTTTACAATTCTTACATATGCCTAAACGTAAACGAATTGAACTAAAAGTATGTTCGTTTCTTTGACAGTATCTCTACTATGTATCTTATGCGTGTCTAACGTACTTTGCATACTTTCGAATCCAACTCGATGCATTTCTTTGCGTCTTCCAATGCTGGGGGATATTTATCAAGCATCATATAACATGCGGCCCTGTTCGCATAGTGTAACGGCGTATTTGGATATAACTCTAGAAATACATTTGTTTTACTGACTCATGATGTCATAAAAAAAAGAAAAAAAAATCACGAGAGACTCTTCTTCTTACTGAACGAATATACCTTACCAATAAGTTCGCTGTACTCTTTTAATGCCTCCTTATACTGTTTCCCAACATAAAGTATCTTTGCAGTCTGCATTTTCGTACGCCTGGAACATCCACGTGTTTAATTCTGCACCGAACTCACCTTGTAATCGTACTATAATCGCACAAGGCGAAGCCGTACGATCTTTCACAATAAAAAATCATCGAAAATACAAAGTCAGCGCAAAGTAGAAACGATTCACGGCTGAGATCTTCTTTTTCAGAAGGAAAACCGGTCGAATGTCGTTGTTCATTGAAAAGGTAACGTTTAATGAATTAAACGAGGTCTCTTTACTTACTCTTTAAGCTGTTCGGTAGCAGACATTGTCGATTGTTTTGAATTACACTTGTGTATGCCTGGAATGCTGGAAGACAGTGAGCTTATTATTCAATAAACCATTACACAACGTACTGTATTCACGCACATAGTTGTTTCACAATTCATCGTCGAGCTTACGTCTTTAAATGTAATGCGTACGTACCTATCCGATCGGTTTATTCTCCTTGTGAAAAACAGTCCTACTCCCTTTTACATTACCAACAGAAGGGTCGCGTTTGTAATAATGATTCCAGGAAGTTAGTACACACACGTTCCAAAATGCATCTGGGATTGCACATCGAAACCTGAAAATAACTCGAAACTAATGTTTATTCGATCATTTGACAGCTAATTGATACAATATAGTATTCCTTAATATAATATTGCTTACGGAATTTTGTTAAAAAGATTATGTTACCATTAAAACGATATTTTACTACTGGCATATTCATAGCTTAAGTCACTACAGTCAATAAAGATGTGATTTTATATACCCATATATATTTAATAAATTTCAATACCAGAAAATTTGCTTTTCAATACTGATGCAAATATAAGAGAAACATTGAATACTTTTGAAAATTTTTTTTTTTCATCATAATTTTGGAACACTTCCGATCCTATGTGCGTATCAACCTTTAATGTCGTTGTCGCCATAACCTGTAATTTTACCCGTTAAAAAGGCAAAATACTGATTAAATCTGTAATACGTAAGTTTACGATAATATAATATAAGTAAAATTTATATACATACATTAAATATCAATTAAAATTATATACACGTTTAATATTAATTAATGTGTCTAAGGATTACCATACATGTCGAATAATTTCCCCAGTTGCATGTGTAATTCATATTGTACTATTGTCATATTGCCTCATGAAATTTTACAGATGAACGTATGGTATATAGGTATATGTGATAAATATTCATTCATCAAATATATTAATTTTTCTGTTGCAGTATCTTTCTAAAGATGAGTCGCTTTTTTGCTACTGGATCAGATTCTGAATCTGATAGTGCCTCTGAAGAGGAACAGGTTCAACGAGCACCAACTACAGCTTTCACCGTAAGTAACAGCACTATAATCTTTTATATTCAGTTACAAAGAAATTTCTACTAATGTGATATAAAATATTTTTAGTTCAGCGATGAGGAAGAAGAGACCAAGAGAGTTGTACGATCGACGAAAGAAAAGAGATATGAAGAAATTGCTAATCTCATCAAGCTTATAAGAAATTACAAAAAGATCAAAGACATGAGCAGCATGTTGTCCAGTAAGCTTTTGTAATATCTAATCCTTTGCAGTTCGCAACTGTTTCCATAATATACTCTCGCAGGTTCATCATAACTTATTTCATTATAAATATAATACTTGACATGCATTGTAGGCAAGACTCATTGGTAAACATTAATATGCAATTTAAACTTTGTTGCAGTGAAATCATTATCTAGATAGAGTGATCATTATGGATATAGAACCTTAAACCTTAAAGGATTAAATAAATATAAATAAAGTAGTAGTCACTCAGTTAGAATCATTTACATTGTAATTTTAGGTTTTGAGGATTTGATGCGTGCATACCAAAAGGCATTGCCCGTAATAGCGAAAGAGGAAGGTGGTCAGACGCCACGTTTTTATATCAGATGTTTAGTCGAAATGGAAGACTTTATTAACGAAGTGTGGGAAGATCGCGAAGGTCGTAAAAACATGTCAAAAAATAATTCGAAATCGTTAACTTCATTGCGTCAGAAGCTTCGTAAGTATAACAAAGACTTCGAGGAAGATATAGCAAAATTCAGAGAAAATCCAGATCAGGATGATGACGAGGAGGAAGAAAAACGTAAGTATAGTGCTTATTCATGCTTTTCTAAGCGAAAGTTCATCATTGTTTAAAATCTTTTAGCCGAGGAAGTTGTCGAATCTGAGGAAGAGGAGGATAGTGCGGTCGCTTTTAAAAAAGCTGGATCAGAAGCAAGTGAACCAGATACTTCCAAATTTAAGGTTTGTTGCGTATAGTAAAATGTTTTGTGTTTTTTCTTTTGACGTTTTTTTCTCTTTTTTTTTACAGAAAAGCATGGCTGATGGAGAAGAAGGTAGTGAAAGCGAGTCTGACTGGGGCAGTTCTTCAGATAGCGAGAGTACAAGTAGCGAGGATGAAGGCCAATATCAAAATATACGTGATCGATTTATCAAAAAGTATGTTTAAGTTATTTAAGAGTAGTACTTAGAAAGTAATATTACTAAATCAATATAATATTAACATGGCGCGTTTTGAAACAGAGTGACAGATAAAGAGGAAGAAGAGGATAAGGCAAAACGAAAAGAACAGCGGAAAGAGCGGAAAGAGAAGGAACGGAAAAAAAAGAAGGACGAGGATGATGAGGAAGGTGAATGGGAAACGGTGAAAGGCGGAGTAGCCATCCCATCTGAAAAACCGAAAATGTTCGCAAAGGATGCAGAAATTAACGTGGCCGCTGTCTTGAAGAAACTTTCCGAAATCATTGCGGCTCGCGGCAAAAAACGTACTGATCGGAGGGAACAAATTGAACTTTTACATGAACTGCAATCCATAGCCGATACCCATAATCTCGGGCCAGCAGTAGCTGTTAAGATTAAATTTTCCATTGTATCTTCCATTTTCGATTACAATCCGAAAGTATCTGATGCAATGAAACCCGAATATTGGTCAAAGTTGGTATTACATTTAAAATTTTTGCTATGTGGCATTGCACAATATATGGAATATATGGAATTCATGAATTAAATTAATTATTGTTTTACAGAATATTAGAACGTATCACGGAAATGCTTGATATGCTTTTAAACACAAAAGATATGGTTATTGCAGAAGTAGTGTCCGAGGATGCAGAAGAGTATGAAACATCTCCATACAAAATACACGGATGTGTATTGACATTAGTAGAACGTTTGGATGAAGAATTCACTAAGTTATTAAAAGAGTGCGATCCACATAGTAATGAATATGTGGAAAGGTACATACATATATTTAATATGAATTAATACGTTGAAAATATAGATAAAAATATTTTTACTGTTTTTTCAATTTTAGGTTGAAAGATGAAAAACAAGTATCCACAATAATAGATAAAGTTCAAGAATATTTAGAGAGGCAAGGATCTGTTTCTGAACTTTGCCGCGTGTACCTACGTAAAATTGAACATTTGTATTATAAGTTTGATCCGAATGTTCTCAAACAGAAAGAAGTAAGTATACAATTATTAATATTTTGTCGAGAAACATCTAAAGGTGATATATGCATCTTCAGGGAGAACTTGGACCAGACGTTGCAACATCTGTGCAGGTTATGGAGAAACTGTGTAAATACGTTTATGCTCATGATGGAACAGACAGGCTTAGAACACGTGCGATTCTTTCTCATGTTTATCATCACGCCCTTCACGATAATTGGTTCCAAGCGCGTGACCTCATTCTAATGTCTCACTTGCAAGAAACTATTCAACATTCCGATCCAGCCACGCAAGTTTGTTTCTTTTGTAACAAAATCATGCTTTTTTATATTCTTGTAAACCTGTTTCCTTAATTTATTATTTTGTATTCTCTACTACAGATTTTGTATAACAGAACCATCGCTCATCTGGGTCTGTGTGCATTCCGTCACGCGAATATTAAAGACGCACACAACTGTTTAGTTGATTTAATGGTTACTGGTAAAGTAAAAGAGCTCTTGGCGCAAGGTCTTCTTCCTCAGAGGCAACATGAACGCAGCAAAGAACAAGAAAAGATAGAAAAACAGAGGCAGATGCCGTTCCATATGCACATTAACTTGGAGCTTTTGGAGTGTGTTTATTTAGTTTCCGCCATGCTCATTGAAATTCCGTACATGGCTGCACATGAATTTGACGCGAGGAGAAGAATGATCTCCAAGACATTTTATCAACAGTTGAGATCCAGCGAACGTCAGTCTTTGGTTGGACCTCCAGAATCTATGAGAGAGCACGTTGTCGCGGCGGCGAAAGCGATGCGCAACGGAAATTGGTTGGCATGCAACAATTTTATCATTAATGAAAAGATGAATGCCAAAGTGTGGGATCTCTTTTATCAAGCGGACAAAGTTCGTGATATGCTTACAAGATTGATCAAAGAAGAAGCCTTAAGAACGTATCTGTTCACATATTCCCATGTCTATGATTCGATCTCTATGCCAAAATTGGCGGAGATGTTTCAACTAAAACGACCTGTTGTTCATTCCATCATTAGTAAAATGATCATTAACGAAGAACTCATGGCGTCTTTGGATGATCCGACAGAAACAGTTGTGATGCATCGTAGCGAACCAAGTCGCTTGCAATCGTTGGCGTTACAACTTACAGACAAAGTGAACAATTTTGTGGACTCTAATGAACGTATCTTCGAAATGAAACAAGGTGAGTTATGAACGTGTTAAGCAATTTTAGATTAATTTTAAAATTATGAAATATCAATGAATATTTTGTATCACAGGAAACTTCTTCTCGAGAGGAAATCAAGGAAACTTCCGCGATAGACAGAATTACAATCGACAGGGACAAGATTGGGGACGTCAGAGACGCGACCGTGATCGAGATCGTAATCGAGAGGAAAATCGAAATTATTAAATCAGAAAATATTGAATATTATTTATGTGGGTGTTTAACAGCGGATTTCATTATTATGCCATGTATATACACTCATGTGAATAATATTAAAAATTGCAGTATATAAATAATTATGTAATATTTTGGCTTATATCCGTACTTCCACTATTACTTGCTACCATTTATATATTATCACTTATACTTATTACTACATTTGATATTATAGATTTTTAATTATCACTTAAGATGTTCATATATCTTGCACCTTCTCTAGTACTTTATTACCTGTTATTATACTATCCGACGTTAGTACAAGCTGAATTCCAGTCGATTTTTCTATAAACCTGCAAGCGGTTATTTCAGCGTAGGTAATACCGCCAATGATACATATCACTATCATTTTTGGTGATAATGAACCACGTTGGCCACTTATGACGCAGTTTGGTAAATTTGTCAATTCATCAAGAATTTTGGAATCCTTTTCTTGATTCACAACGGTGTTTAATATTTGAGCCTATAGAGGTGTGAATTTTCATCAGTTCCATCCAACAGTAAACATTAACGAGTAAATTAACGAGTAAGTCTACTAACGATTAGTGGCACGTAAACGTTACTGAATACATAACTCGGACATGAATGATTTTTTTGTTTCGCTTGTCTGAAGTAACTGGGTAACAACTTCAACTTCTGCGCGTTATTGTTCCACTCACTGTTCCAATTCGATAATTTGTGTAGAATATTTTCTGACCTGTATTTCAGTAAACCTATACTTTGCAATTTATAAAACAATGGTATGTGCTTGTACCCGTGAGCGTGAAGATAAAGCTTTTGTACAGAATCTAATTCACTTTGCGTAATTCCGTCGCTTGTGATTGACAATAGGCATAATAAACGCAAAGTTCTCAGTGGGTGATCGTCTGAAAAATTAATCATTTTGAAAATAATATTATTGCCGATAAAAGCGATTACGTACCAACATATCTCTCGATATAATTCAAACACTCTTTCCTTTCTCTACACTCGAGCATACATTTCTCTATTTCTTGCAAAGTTTGAAAATCAGAACTCAGTGTGTCTGCTATTAATTGGCAAGCAGAAATATGAAAAGCAAGTTGTTGCGTTAGATCCCTAGTTTTTTGTAACTGTGTCGTTACATACGTTTCCATTTCGGACAACTTCATTGTTTGTATCTTATTCTGTTCCGCTAATATGAACCATTAAAAATACTACTAACTTCTATGAAAAGTAAATTATTATAAGAAATATATGGATACAAATATATATACATATAAACGTACATTTTAAAAGTTTTGCCTTTTTATGCAAAAATGGGAAAACTTCGCTGCATGGTGTATCTCTTACTTCTTCATAAATCTTATCTTTGTCTGGATCTAATTTAACTTGAGATTTGCTCAAAATACCTGTGCCAACATTTATTTCTATCACTTCGTGCAACAATCCGGCATATGTTACAGGTGTTAAAAGTGGTGTAACCAAGTCATAATTCCTGTCCATTATAATTAAAGCTCCTATTTCATTTTCTATGTTAGAAGAGCCCAAGCACTGCCTCATGGAATCCATGATTTTAAGTATTTGCTGACTGTGCTTTCCAAGGGTAACCGTCAGTTTAGGTGAACCAAGTATAAGTTGCAATGACCACAGACCACGTCCCAACGCTGGTAACAATGTAGTATCTTTGTGATAGTAAAAATCAATGAACATAGAATTCTCTAAAGACAAGATGTTTCCATCTAATCTTATAAATTCCCAGGACAATGTTTGCAATGTAACTAGTCCGGATAATCCTAAACGAGCATTTGCGTTCTTACTTCAATGGAACTTAAACAACTGTTAATTATTTAACTGAATAAAAGTAGTCACCTTCTTCTTCAATTATCAAATTAAGAATAGCAGGTACAAATGGAGCAACTAAAATGTGGTGATATGGCTGTACGTGTGGTTTACTATTTGGAGGAATCTCTGATTGTATTTGATCCAGTACCCTCTTACAAGTGATCAGATCGCTCGAAACCAAAAATATGTGCTGAGAATTCGAAAGTTTCAAGCCCTGTTCCATTTTGTAAATTTTTTCAACGCCATAATGTCTACATACAAGAAATAACATCATTCAATATTCTTTCTGAGAGCAACATGCCTCTCTCTGTTAGTTAAGACAATTACTTAAGTACAGAAACCCCTACAAAACTATCCAAGATTTTCATAAGCTTCTGTTCTATCACTAGGTCTTTGGTCCCAGGAATCTCTTTCAGTACCTCAACCAACTTTCGTTGACTTATCTGTTGTAGCACGTTCAGTCTGTCGCCCAACGTGATGTCCATATTTTTTTTGATATTTGTAAAATTGATTTCGACAATAAGTGATAGTGAAGCTGTTTAGCTCCTGTGAATTACAAGAGTGCCGTAAATTTGTCAAATGATATGAAATGTCATGTAAAGTTAAAGGTTATTATGGAATTCTGATGTTTTTCTTTGCTTACCGAAATTCCTTCCAACCTCAAGTAATCTTCAAATTACATCTCACAGATTGATCATGGAATTGCTATTTCTTTTAAAAGTTTGATCATAACAAACAACTCAACTGATACATCCATCTACGAGAGCTTCGTAAGCCATACTGAACTGTGATCTTTCCAATATTCACGCATGCATCTCAGTATAGGGTTATTTAAAAATGGCGGACGCATCGTCTTCCGATACTACCTCAGACTGTTGCAATGAATGGTTCTCTGATATTACTTCTGAAAAGTCGGAATACGTTATCGTAGGTCAGAAACCATGCCTATCCCATCGTCGCAGCAAAAGACATTTCTTACAGAAGCTATTTTTAAGAGAGGTAATGTCGCTTAACCTTTAACCTACGTGAGCATTAATGAAATTGACAAACTCTAGATAGCTGCCAAAATTCCATGGTAGTGTAGAGGAGAAAAAAAAAAGAAGAGAAAGAAATGGAAAAATAAGTAAAATACAATCAGGGAGAAAATTTCGATCGTTCCTCAGCGTTTTACGTTTGATTCTTAATTGATACATTATGCTTAACATTCTATGGATGCAAGAAAAAATGTGCTCTTGTCCTTGCCCATACAAGTTTTGTTTTTTTTTTTGGTTCTTCTCTGTCGCAGTTCAAATGGATTGAACGAATGCATGATATCTATAAGGGACATAAAATGAAATACTTGCAGAGGCAAAATTAAGAATTCTTGAAATTTATAAGTTAGAGGAAAACAATAAGAATACTGTAAAGAAAGACCAACTTTTACAGATCAGAGGTTGTTTATCAGCGCACAATTATGCGTCAGAAGAAAGACTGTTTGCTACTGTACCTTCTTGGAGACACTTGCCACTGATACACGTAATCCCAAAGTCAGCACTAGAAGCAGGGTATGTTCACAAGACATATAAATTTGTATGACAAGGAAAAAAAAAATCTTTTTTCGCACTGTCAATCTTGTAATAATAATAATTATTATTATTGAAGACATATTGTAATGGGATTGACACAGTGTGGTCAGTTTTTACTTACATACACATATACCATGGATGTGAGTGGCACTACCTCTTTGTACAAATACTTGTTACATTGGTGGGCCTTTACACCAAACCATGTTGCACGTAAAGTTGCAGAGGTCACGCTTTTTGGTAATTATACTATCTACAGAGAACTTAGTATTGTTATTTCGCAATGGCCAATGGAAAGGAATAAGCTGGTGATACATGGTCTTTGGTAAGATCTTATTTACAATTATATTTCTCATTTATAAGCAAGCCTTCATCAAGCCTTTGATTTTACAAAGTGATTAATAAACATAAATCTTTAGTACAAACTGGCTGCATCTTCAACCAACAGATAGAGCATACTTAACAATAACTACAGTGCCATCTCTTGAAAATTGTAAGGACTGTTTAAAGGTAGCAGCATCCTACGAGGAAGAAGGTGAAGGTAATGTGACATTGTGCAAATAAAAAATGCAATTATAACAAGTTAAAAAAAGAAAAAAAATTTATTTTTACTTATAGAACTCGCAGCAAACTGGGATTGTTGTGTAAGGTGTAATTGCCTTCAACATGGACTCACTGTCCATACCACCTACGAAGTAATTTCTCCATATCCTAGGTTCCGTGCTACTGTCTGTTTGAATTACTGGAATCATGTGGTAGTTAATACAGGCAACTTTTTACATGTGCTCAGGGTGGACTTGGACATTCCAAAATTGAAAAACCAGAAGTCTAGCGATAAACAAGACACTGTGATCCCTGATACTGTGCCGTTAGACATGAGTGATGTTGAAGAACTGGACTACACCAAGACGGTGGAACGTTACGAGAGTTCCGACGAGAAAGTAGGCACGCCCGAGTGTGCAGTTGATCAATCGCCGCGTTGCGAGTCGAGTATAGAACATGATTTTTTAGAAGAACCAATTAAATTAGATGATAAGTTAGGCCATGATTCGTTAAATACCTCAAGTAGCAATCAAAGCGACTGTGCCTGTGATATAAATAAGTCTGCCGATGTCGTATGTGTTAAGCCGTGCGACTGTACTGACAGCAACGAGTGTAAATGCCAAAATAGTAGTCCGATCTCGCGAACCGAACAGCAAGCTATCTCGGTCAGAGATAAAATCTTGCAGGACTTCTGCGAGGACATGTCCCAGGAGCTCAACATTGGTAGTGATTTAATTACGCTAGTGAAACATCCCTCGTGTTCACCAAGGTCTACGCCTCAAAGACTTCCTTCTGATCTCAAAACAATGATATGGTCTTCGCCAATTCTCACGCCGCCTTCGGACATCTTGAGAACCCGAAATTCAGAGTCTAGTCATAAAAATACACGCGGTCAGCGTTCGAATTCCCCTCAACCTGGTGCTTCGAAAGACAGCAATATCGGCCCCGTTAATTCTCCTCTTCACTCAGTTTCTATAAGTCCATCCTCTTCATGTTCTTCGCGGCTGATGTCACCGCCCGTGTCACGATCTTTTCGTCATCCAAGTCCACGCAAGAGATCCAATTTACATTCTCCTCCTCCCATCGTGAATTCAACGCAGTCGAGGGCAAGGGCTACGCACAAGCTTATCCTCGAGGCTGAGAAAGCGTACGAGTTCACGGATGAAGCGCAGGAGACTTGCGAGAAACTTAGCTCATTCCGGAAAAGGAGGCTCGCTGACAAAAAGTACGAGTTCTGCGACGAAACTGAAGACGCTGAAAATATAGTTCCTTTCAAGCATATACGGGATCAATTTAAACACCGTGGCTGTTCCATACATCAGATATCATCTTCTCCCACAATGTCACCCGCACTGCCAAATGGTAAGAAGCATTGGGTCGATTCCGATCAAAGTGAAACCGATGATTACAGCGTAACCCAGGATACTGGCGTCTCTAACGATTCAACCATCGATTCAGGTAAACTGAATTGTCTGTATTAAGATCATTTTTAGATAAAGTTGTTAATGTTATTTTAATTCGTCAGCTGAGAAAAATGTCTTACGTCCATTAAATCAGAATCAACTGTCCAACGGGGGCATAAACAGGGATCGTTCTAATAAGCATTCTGTGAATTCTTCGCCACTAGTTCCAAAAATAAATTTACAGTATCCTAGTATAAAATGTACGGCTCATTTCAAGAGAAGTTATATAGAACTCGACGATGAAATGATATCTGTTATTACGGACGTTGAAGGTACGTTGTACTTCTGATTATGTTTCTTTTTTTTTTTTCTATAATTAGAATAAATAAAATAGACATAAGCATATGTATGCACGTACATTTTACAGACGAGGAAACAGGAGGATATGTAAGTTATCAATGTGTGCTTCCTATGCATGTCCACGGATCTGGATATGTCCAAATGCAAATGATCAGTAATAGCAAAGCTGAAAAATTGGTATTTTGTTCTAAAATTCGAATGAATTTATTCAATAATCAATAAGATAAGGATTAAGCAATTATTGCGTTTCTAGATAGTACCATGTGTCTCAATAAATCAATTAAGTTTTGACATCGAAACGTTCTCTCATCATATTGCCGACTGGATTTGTATGAGATTTAAAAAGAGATATTGGCACTGTAGTGATTATGACATAGAAATAATAGATGTGTGCGCATTAAGTGGTGACATTATCTGTCTATTAATCATGAAGATACAAGCTAGTGAAATTAGTAGTCAAACTCAATGGTTCGTACTAGTTTATGTTCAAGAATTTTCATTATACTATTATACTTACTTTGGTGAAATGTAGCTCGCAAGAGAGAACGCAATACGAAGTGGGGTGCAAATTCACATGGAATATTGATACAAGTCAATATAGGATAACTGATATATTACCATTGGAAGAAGTGAAACCCGAATCGTGGAAGCCGAATTGCATGAACGTTCCAAATTTTCGGAGTCCGTTGTGGAACCCGACCAGACGTTTAGCGCCGAAATTAAGGGAAAAGATACAGCAACCGTATGCGCACACAGTGCGATTTTTACATAATGAAATGACTTTGGCAGGTGAGTGTTGGAAATGAAGTGAAACATTATTTTAAAAAATAAAGAAAATATGCAATATATATTTTTTAGGTGAATCCATAACTAGACTTTACGATTTGGATAATCTGGTGGAGTTTTACATAACGCCGATGCCAAATTATTCTTCAATCGAGTAAATCGTTATCGAATAGACGATATGTTGCAAACAATAATTTATTTATTGTTACAAATCTAAGAGTTTCATCATTGATAAGATAGCGTGTGCAATGTAACGAATGTATTGGAAACATACTCCATAGACCTACGATACTATTTCAGAAATATTATTAATTCCAGGCGTAAATAGCAACAGATGTAACACGTTATATAGATTCTTACTGTGCTTTTTTCACGAGACTACCTAAATAAGTTGATTGTTAAGTGCCGCTATAATGAATTGTCCAAAATATAATAACATAGATTATTAAGAATACTGAATAACGATACAACGAACGTTACAAGCGATTGCTTGGACTTTGTAAATTATATTCTAGCGCTATATTATACATTGATCATCTATATATTATCCATGAACTTTGGTAATTATCGGATATAAGTAATTAAGAACTGATTGTCAATGAATGTATTGTATGTGGTTTCAAAGAAAAAGAACAAATAGTGACAAATTATTTAGTAATTGGTCCCAAAATTAATTAGTGAAAGAAAAAATGTATCATGAAATAACATTGAGTTTTTATGCTAAAATTTATCCTAGTTAGATTTGTAGAATTAGATACATTTATTTACGTTTTTGCGTTAACTTCGCGTATCCGTGTTGTATTATAAAGCCATTTTATCATAAACTTTTTTATATCTGAAAAACCGATATATGTATACATATATATGTGTGTATATATACATATATATATGTATATATATGAACGTGTAACATGCGCGACTAATCAATGCATTGTAATGTATATAAGTACCGATTGTACTTTCTACAAAACATTTAAGATTTGAGAGACAAAGTTATTTAATTTGCTGAAGCAACGACGACGAAACTGATAAAGTCAGTTTCTAAAATGCAATAAAATATTTGTCATTGCTGACAAATTGTGGCTTCAAGTTTTTTTACCTTTTTAAATGCATAAGATTATTACTATATGTGTGTATTTGTGTGTGTGTGTGTATGTTTAAAAATGAAAGACGGAATTCAAACGGGAATTTTAATAGGTGGCCCTACACTAACTTCAGATCCTATCCCATCCAATTTCAAACCAGTGAGAATTTCTTCCCATGCATTCATACACTGCTGATAATGTCGAATCTGTCGATCTGCCATTGAAATTAATATATTTTTCAAATCCATTTGTTTCTCTATATTCCACCTTTGTAAATCACTTCGAAGATTTTCGTTTGCACATTCCACGCAATCTTGCAGTAATTCCGCTTGCTTTGCCAATCGTGGAATAATCTGTCCGAGTCTTTCTAATTTTTCATCACGAGATTCCGCCTTCCAAAGTGATCCACCCCAATTTTGAGTCGAGGTGTTACCGCTCGTAAGACCCATTAGCTATTATTTAAACAATTGTTGTCATAAAATATAAATTTTTGATATCAAATTTGAAAACAAAATTTAAAACATACTTGATCCTTTTCCAATCTTTTCTTGGCCAGTTCTTCGACGGTCATTTCATATTCAATCTGCATCGAATCGCGTCGAGATAAAGCATTTTTAACTGCATCTACATATGAAATGTATTCTCGTTCCTCATTTGTTACATTTTCCAAGAGTTTTTGATGAGCCACTGCATTGCATTCTATCGCTTTAGCAATAGCTAACAAAAAAGGAGCTAATTCTGGCTCAGAGGTTGCCCACAAAGTGAAAATTGGATGTAATTGATGTAATTCCAGCAGGTAGTCTAATAAGACATGTAAATTAATAAAAATTACAATAAAAAGCAATCAACGCGAGTGAGAGAACTGATTTTCTGCTGTACCTTGTCTTTCCTTGTGTATACGATGATTTATTTTATCTACTGTCGCTAATTTTTCGCTAAGAGCTGTACAATAATCCCGAATTTGTTCAAATTCGAAGTGACGCTGTTTTATGGTAGACGTACTTGCGATATTTTGCAAAGAATCAGTCATCTTGACAAGGACATTTCCACGATTTTTCCGATGTATAAGGAATTCCTGAGAAAGTTAGAATCACAATATTTAAAAGTACAACGAACCAAGACATACCAAAGAAACGAAAATATTTTTACCGCAGGTTTAGTTGTCAGAAAGATGTATAAATTTTTATCACAACTGAGGATTGGATGATTTACAACTCTGTTGAGAAACACATGTAACAACTTCATACGCGCTATAATAAATTCTTTGGAGTAACGATCTAACTGAGCAAGCAAAGTATGTTTCCCAGGCATAGGCTGTAATAACAACATTTTCATAAGTTGTACAAACAAAAAATAAACATAAGGCAAATGTGCTTCAGAAATATGTCAAGGCTCACTGGTATGATACGCGTAGGATATGAATCCACTAATTTCTCTCGCAACCAAATGAAGTCATTGTAACGCCTTCTGACAACGTATTCCTCTTCCTTGAATTCCGGTCTTGTAGACTAAAACAACACAGGAATCTCATTGTTGTACTGACATCTATTTCTGTCAATACTTGGAACAAAACTTACTTTTGTTGTTATGCGAAAAGTAATATAAGTTTCAAGCGTTTCGAGATGCTTTTGAGGGTTGTCCACTTTGACTTGCAAGTCTCTAGAATCTGTCTGAAAATCCGACATCTCTTGTTCTGGCAGAGTAGAGAAACTATCAATGGAGGGAGAAGCTATCTGAAAGTGATTACATTACATCACACTATATTAAACGTTACTAATCTATGTAATCTACATATATATATATATATATTTTTTGTAACTTTTATTCTCATATTCATAGCAATAACTTTTATTCTCATATTCACAGGCAATTGTCAAATGCTTTACAGGTTATGTCCTCACCACAGAACCTTCGACGGAAGTGCTGCAATTGGACAGAAAATCAACGTCACGGCTCTCCTGTTTAATAACACCGCCGACTGCCATCGTGCTAACTTCCAAGATCGCGGAGTCCTCCGCGTTCTTCTCGCTCAGGTTCTCCACCTCGATTTCCGAAGAGGTCATCATCTTCGAACTGTCAAGCGACGGAGCTTCAATAGCATTGCGTCGTCGCGACGCGCAGCGTCAGACGAATCACGAGCACAATATGCGGATCGACTATGTTTCAAAATGTGATCAAACTTTCGAGTATCGGTAATTTATATTACAACGATGAAATTAGTCGATGGTAACGTAAACATGTTTAAATTTATCGCGAGTGTTACCATTTATCAACCTATAGCGTTTTTTTTCTCTAGCCATACATTTTTTTCGAGAGATACCCCGTTTGTTGTTCCTCTCTGTAATTGAAGTGCTATAATTCGACTGTCGGTTGTCGCAAAATGCAGTTGAACAAACTTAACGACGTCCAGCAGCGAAGGAGCAAATAATTCACGCCCGTGGATACCGTATCTCGGGATACAGCCGACTTTTCCTTCTCCTCCCGCGATTAATTACTTCGAAATTTTTGCGTTGTACGTCGCAAAGGTATGGAGTGGCAGGAAGAGGATGAGTACAATGCCGTTGTCCCCAAGAGATACATAATGGTGGCGGAGGGATCCCCGTCGTTACCGATTATTTATTACCGATCTCAAGATTTCCTGTCGAGTAAGTTGCTGTGTTATTTTCAAAACTTGCCTCAACTTGGAGGTTAAATACGCGTATATTGCATAACAAAAGTTTTTTACACGTGTGTTTGAAAAACGTCTTGTAACGCCCCTGGAAAAAAAATTTGATCCAAGTTATTCATTTTATTATTGTCGCAATAATAACAATTACGGCTAAATCGTTAACTATGTAATCGGTTATTCCTGACTTTTCACCGTGACGAATTATTTCGAATAACGCGCTGCATAAGCGGCACCATGCGTCGCTACGGTCGATCGATTCGAACGAAAATTAACGAGACGATGCGATGAATCAACAAATTGCTTTGAAACATCGTATGGAGTGAAAAATCAGCGATTGATACGAATAATCGTTTATTCGGAATGAGGTAAATGTCACGATGTAGTTGGGTTATTGTGTATCACAGGCTGCGCATTCACGCGCGACTGCGCATGCGCGCGTCAACCGCCGTGCAACGCTACTTCCATTTACAATTTGCGTTTGCCGCTTTTCCGAGGAGCAACTACCCGTCGAAAAAATACACTCGCGAGTTTTGAATCTTATCTGCAACGAGCGTTATATAGATTTCGGTGATTCAATCAGGTCCGACTGTTGGTATAGGAAGAAGGGCACGCGCGGCACTTTTCATACATGTATCAATAACTCCGCAGACCCGGTTCAGAGTTCATCTTCATCGATACTCCATCATTCGACTTCGATCGATTACCACTCGAACGTAATTCGCAAGATCGAAAGTAACCTCAATCATCCAATGCATGCAAAATCTGCCAAATCGGTTAATTTAATTCGTCAGTCTATTGAACCATCTAAATTTGAAATGTAATAAAAAAACGAGAGAGACACAAGTACAATTAAAAAACGAGTAACATTTCACTTGCTTCAAAAAAACGTATTTGCATGTCACGTGTTTGCTGCTGACGTACGTACACAGAAAGAAGTAACATCCATATACTAATATTTAGAAAAAATGAGGAGTCCAATCAAAATTTGAAAGAAAAAAAAATGCAAAATTAAATATATGAACATATGTATATATAATATATAAATATATGTATATTTATATATTTAATAATGCTTTTCTTTCGTTCAAATTTACATGTAAATTTGTATGTAAATAAAAAGGCAATGTTAGGCATACGTACATATATTAGTGGTTAGGCTGATTGCAGCGCCCTAGGCAGAGTATGGCTAGGTACGTCACTGGTTGTGACGCGGGCAGTGATGCCGTAGTCAAGGCGACCGCAGCAGCAGACAACCAACACTCCGACCAGCCGTCGACAACAAAATACGCAGGTTTGTCGGAGTGTGCTGCTCCGCTTTTCCACTTCTACGGTGCCTTGACTGTCGCGTGGTTTCCTGGGTGACAAGCACGGCGGTTCCTTGAACCGGGGAGAAGCCCCGGTTGATATACGTGGGGGGACACGTTCGGTCGCGCAAGTGCGTCCGGGCGTCGTGTTGAAAGTACACGCCATTCATGAAGACAGGTGAGTAAAAAAGAAACGTAGAATTCGCGCTTTTTTTTTCGTCTATCGTTTCTAACTTCGATCATCGTCGCAGGCGATTTGTAATTTTAATAATTTTTTTTCTCCGATGGCCACGGGCGAACGTGATGCTCCATGGCGTTCGGACATGCAGCTTTACTAGCGCCTTATCAGGCCTCTTGCTGCGTTAATTTTATCACCCTCAATGCGTACTCGCACAACGATAGTTGACATCGTTTGATTGTCGATGGTTACTGTTCGAGCAACCGCGATGTCGTTGAATGCGAGAATCTCGTTTTTTCTTGTTTTTCGCAATTGTATTTCTTGACGTAGAGTCATCACGCTGCGGTCATTCGTACATCGCCATTCAACACTTTTATGTGAAGATTTGTTGAAAATGTTCACGCCACGTTGTTGAAAACGTTTAGTTATTTTAATATCCGAGCGCGATTATATTCATCTCCACAGATTTGAAAATTCCATTCATTTCAGAGAATGTTGTATTTTTTTTTTTAATGGGTATATCGTTCGATTGTGAGTGTTCTTTGTAGCAGAAAGAGATTAATTAATAAAATCTCTCTCGCAGGGAAGAACCATCGCAGATTTCTTGCTTTATGTATTCCCCTATTGCATTACGGTTTGATGATTTTATTGTGCACCCTGCTTGGGGGATATATCTAATATTTGGAACCCTATGTAGCATTTAATTAAAATAGGCTTATCAATTCCATCAATGTACTTCTTGGAGCATAAAAGAAAAGGCACAACTGAAAACTTACCCACCTTCGACCATCTAATTATTAAAATTAAAAATGATGCTACAATAAATTACAAATTTCAAATTTTTGTTCAATTTTGTTTCTGTTCGATATTGCAGATATTATATTCGTAAGATGTAATAGGTTTTATTTTGGACTTGGTAATATTAATATTCCGAAATATATGAATATGAGAGAATGCGTAGGGAACGTGTAATGTAAAGCAGCAGATAAGGTGTGCAGAACACTTTCAAGCATCAGTCATGCATAACAGAGGCCAGGTGCATACGCAGCGTGCTTTCTAATGTAATCACCATTTTCTAGAATAACGTAATATCGAATATTAAGTAACATATTCGTAACGCGTATCTTTCTTAAATTAATCATTAAATTAATAAATTTGCAGAAAGGGAAATGTTACTTTTTTCTCTCGATGTAATATGCAACTATCCTACTTCATTTCTTTTTTTTATAACGTCGAAAGTTTTTCACGAATACGCAGGCTAATTATAAAATTGATTGCCATTGATCACGAGGGAGGTTTTAATACTCTCTAATTGCACCTATGATCCGACCTTTCCTATCGATACTTTCAACCCCCTTGACAAGAGTTCTATGCCCATCCACGCGTATGCTGCATTTTAGTCACCATCCCTCGCCCTTTCGTTTTCTTCCCTTTGAAACATTGTTTGGTACCTGCCACCCTACAGGTACGGGATGTACCAACACATTTTGCTGTAGATATGTACGTCGAAACGACAATAGCGCGTTTCATTCGTATTGGAAGCTCTTTGGGGCTTCTCTTTGATCTGTAGGTTATTAAATGCTGCACACCTGCGTGAAATTACGTAGGCGATCCTTCTTATATGTAGGTTAGGGTGTCTGTTAATCTATCGCTATAACAGCCGACTCGCTGTTAAGAGGCATCGCTGTTCAATCATGCTTCGACATGTACGACGTGTACTCTGAAATTTATCAAAATAAAAAATGATCAACGCTATTATATTTTTATTCTTTCATTACTTGCATGATATATTTTTTATAACATAGAAAGCAATTAATACAAGCTTATACATTGTACAATATACTTACACTAAAATGTACAAGATATCCATTTGCAAAATATTTGTCTTTTTTACTTATATCTGAAGACCTTTGAAAAATAGTACTTACTAAATGTGTATCTGCTTAGTACTTACTACGTGTGATAGTTTAAAATCAGTTTATACATTCAATGGTATTATCAATGGCTTCTTCAACTGATCAGTCAATGATGTTCCTTTAGTGATCGCATTCTGTAGGATGCTTATAGAAAGAACTTATAGAAGGTATCCTTGCGTTGCTAGTCTGTTGGAAAGTATTATTGATATTTATTACATCTGTATGTGTGTATGTCTACAGATTCTTCCCTTCACAAACGGGGAGGTAGCAGTGGTGGTGATACAGTGGGAGTAGAGAGAGGTGAAGGAGTGATTACCATGACTACGACAGGAGCCCAGTATGCCCTCACAGCATCCACCAGAGCTAATAACAGTGGGGGTAGCTCTACAACAGTGGGGGTGGAACCTAAACCAAGTGTTGTTGTCGTGACTACTTCCAGCTCCAGTGGCAGTGGTAACGCAGCACAGAGTCAGTCTACAAGAGGACAGCAACTTATCACTGTTGTTACCAGTCCTGATCCTTCCAGTCCAAACAATCTGCAACCTATACAGGTTTGTTCAATTACGTTACATAATTCAGTTAAATCCTTTATTAGCAAGAAGATTTCCTTCCTTTTTTAAATTTAATAATCCTTTTATTAGGAAGGAGATCCTTCTAATTAGAAGATTTTACTATATACTAAATATATAAAACCTTTTATATATGTATATATATAATTAATACTACTAGAAAGTTTATATGTATACATATAATTAATATTACTAGAAATAAAAATTATTTTAAATATTTATATTATTATATAGAAACTTGCCGTTGATCATGAGAACATGCATACTATAAATAATAATTTAGTTATTGGTTCAGGATCCGCTTGAAACAGCTGCAGATTCTTCCAACGGCTCAACAGGTACTCCAGCGCATGTTACAGCACAAGTTGTAGTGAATACCACCCATTCTGGTCAGCATACTCTCGTTGATTCCGACGCTACATCCACGTCTGCCGGTACCATTGTCAGTGGATCTCCGCATTTTATTACGGTAACAGGTGCGTTTTAAGCCGAAGAATTTTAACATATTCTCACTTCATTCAGCTGTTAGTCACAAAATTTCCGATTGCGATATTGCAAAACGTCCAAATTTGAGAGATTGGTCTTAACAAATATAAAATACGTGTAAAAAAAAATTGCGATAAGATGTCGAGAGACTTCTTATAAGTATATGTTAGGGGTGAGTATCAGGATCAGTTTGAAAAAAAATTATAGTGTTTGAGTAGAGATTTGGCCCTTTCCATGCTGCTGAAAAACATGCACCTCTGTTCTTCTACTCTGACCACACTAGGCACCAGTGACTCACCATCCTACGCGTCCCTCACAACGGCAGTAGGTGAGGGCAGAATATAATCAGCATGCATTATTTTTTTTTTTTTTTTTCATTACTAATGTACAACATATTTGTAAAAGAGCTGTATATCATTTTTTTCTATGCATCAATTTTGCATGATCTAGTACATTGTTTTATTTGTATGAATAATAAAGAACCATGTAAATAAGTAAAAATACCGTGTAGATATCAAATTTTGTTTTAAGAGTGCAAGCGCTTATTTAGATGCACTCTGTTTTGTTCTAATAATTGGCAAGATATAATTCTGTAACTTTTAAACAGTATATGTATTTCACAAACTTTGATCCATGTGGAAAGTATTAACTGTATAAACAAATTGAAATATCGCCTCTGTTTCAGTGTCTGGAGAACCAGAAGCAGTGGGGTCCGAATCGGTTTCTCATCCTACTTATGTTCAATATGTTGAGGGGGATGGTTCCACGTATATACCGACAAATGGTCAGATGTAAGTATATTTCAATTGGGTAATTGTTTACAAAGCGGGCGACCTTAGCGATTTTTATGGTTCTTAGACACGAGTAACTTTTCTTTGTCTGACTTTGTCTAAACAATCGTTACTCAGTTTAAAAAAAAAAACGAAAATTTTTCTTTGATTGTTTCACTCAGTCTTATAATTTGACTTTTGCAGGACATATCCTGTATATGCTGTTGGAGAAGCAGGAGCAATGTACACTCCTGCTTCTAGTCAGTATTACACACCAGCAACTACGCCAGTAACGTATGCTCAGGTAATTTATAAAATATCTTATTTTCAATTAATAGATGTAATGGCAATCAAAATGTAACGTGTGTCTTGTAGTATTATCATGAATAATATTTTATTGTATTTAGGTTACTGGTCAAGGTTCAAATTCTACAACCGGACAATTGTTATCTCAGGGCAATGGCACGTATCTTATTCAACAGAGTGTTGTAGATGGGGATCCTACGGCACACGCGTTAATATCTGCAGCCGCTGCACGTGCTAGTCCACAGACAGAAAGTGCGGTAAGATAGCAATGCATGTTTATGGTTCTCATTGCTTTTATCTTCTTTGTAGATACGGTTTTAATACAATATAAATTTGCATTAAGTTACTGAATGGAGATTTTATAACGAAGCTACTTTTTTTTTAAAAGTTGGGATTTAATATGGTATTGGTATTGGGTTGTTTGATAGGAAACTGTGGTTAGCGGGGGTGGAGGGGCGTACTTGATCAGCGGTAATTCAGGAGGTACTGCTGTCACTGTGGAAGACGCTGCAGCAGCGGCTGCAAACATGACGCATGCCACTAGAGTTTCCCAAGCAACAGTAAGCTGATACATAATTTTGATTTGTAAGCTTAGCTGTACTAATTCGTTGTAGCATGTAAAACTGCTTCTTTAGACATGCTTTTTTTCTCAAGACTTACTTCAGTTCAGTAACAATGCAAGATTTTCTCTAACATAAATATTACTAGTAGGTGTAGGTTTTATGTGTCGTTTTAATTGGCATTTTATCTTTTGATCTTTTTATATGTAGATAGTGTTATATCCGATGTTTATTGATAATATAATGTTGGAGTTTATAATGATTTGTAATCATATGTAATTAGGTTCATTGGTTGCTCGAAAATTATGAAACAGCAGATGGTGTCTCTCTTCCAAGATCGACTCTTTACAATCATTATCTACGTCACTGCTCTGAAAATAAGTTAGATCCTGTAAATGCCGCAAGTTTTGGGAAACTAATACGTTCTGTTTTTTTGGGTTTAAGAACTAGACGACTGGGCACAAGGTAAATAACTTTATTTCTAAATATACTTTACATTATTTTTCAATCACTGCCACTTTTCACAGGGGAAATTCAAAATATCATTATTATGGAATTCGCGTTAAGCCCAGTTCTCCTTTAGTCATGTTAAATGAAGATGGAACACCTCGTCAGCAGCAAGGTACAAATTCGCAAACGAAACGATTCAAATTTGTGAATCAAAAGCAGGACACTACGTACGAAAATAATACGCATTCGAATACAAATATTTCTTCAAATAATTCGCCGCCTCAGTATCATCAGTATCTTGGCGAGGCGAATGGTGCTATTCCAGAGTTTCCAGAAATAATAGTCGGGCACGGTTCGTCCCTTCCAGAAGATTGCACGTTAGAAGATATTGACACGTTTCGTAGTATATACAGAGAACACTGTGAAGCCTTTTTAGATGCTGTTTTCAACTTTGAGTTTGGTACTGTAGAAAGCCTTTGGAGAGAATTTTGGCGTAGTCAGGACAATAATAATGGCGATGAGTGTGAGGAAGAAAAATATTTATCGAAGTAAGATTTCTACGTTCGGCTTTTTTGAATAATTTATGAATAGAATTTTGATGACATTTTATGCTATTTGTAGGACTAAGCTATATCAAATGTGTAAATGCTCAGAAGTTCAAGATTTCATAAGGAAAGTTGACTATACGTTTTATCAAAATTTGGTAGAAGTACTAATGCCTAACGTGTTGCGACCCATACCGAGTGAGTTACATTGATTACGCCATTTACATTATTATTATATGGTACTAATTAACGTATAATCTTCAGGTTCATTAACACAGTCTATTCGAAATTTTGCAAAAGGACTAGAGTCGTGGTTAACGTCAGCAATGGCTGATTGTCCCGAAGAAATGACTCAAATAAAGGTAGTATTAAAACATAACGATGAAGTATGTCTTTTGTTAACAGAGATGTTATTTTAGTTGACTGCTGTGTCTGCGTTTGCCCAGACACTAAGACGTTATACATCGTTGAATCACCTTGCTCAAGCTGCGCGTGCAGTGCTTCAGAATTCTAGTCAAATAAATCAAATGCTAGCTGATCTGAATCGTGTTGATTTTCATAATGTGCAAGAACAGGTATCTATGCTAATTTATTTAATGTAATGGTCTTTTTAATATAAAAAAACACGTATGTATGTATATTTTATAGGCTTCGTGGGTATGTCAATGCGACTATGCAATGGTACAACGTTTGGAAGCAGATTTTAAGGTAACCTTACAACAGCAGAATTCATTGGAAGATTGGGCAATTTGGTTAAAGAGCGTTGTAACTCAAGTTCTTAAACCGTTTGAGGAAAAGCCAACATTTGCAAAAGCTGCTCGACAATTTTTGCTCAAATGGTCCTTTTATAGGTAATTATTTTAAATACATGAAAAATGACGATTTATTTCTAGTGTTTTTGATTATCTTTTTACTATTCATTCAATAGTTCCATGGTCATTCGTGACCTTACCTTAAGAAGCGCAGCTAGTTTTGGATCATTTCATCTGATTCGATTATTGTATGATGAGTACATGTTTTATTTGATCGAGCATCAAGTAGCTGTTGCTACAGGGACAACTCCAATAGCAGTAATGGGAGATGTGTGTATTCTTGTCAAATGATGTAATATATATTTTGATTAATTACTAGATTATTAGTTGGCTTTATTTTCTTTCAGAAAAGTCAAAATTGCTCTTTAGTTAGCGCGTTTGGCGCCACTTCTAACGGAGGTGAGTCTTTGAGTTTGTTGTTTAATATTTTTCATGAGTTTTATTCATTTACATCAAATATTTTTAAAATAAAAATATTATTTCTTTCAGATGCATCAAACACGAGTCAACCAAAGCGTATGAAACCAAGCTAACTGCGTGCCTACGTCTTTTAGTTTTGGAAGTAAGCCAGTAGCACCTGAGAATGAAACGTTAGCACAAGAGCATGCAGGCCTACTAACACACTAGTCCCATAAATTATAATTTTATATAAGATGAGACCTTATTGTATTATGACTTTAACAAAGAAGATTTTTGCATAACGAACGCCCAGGATATATACAATCTAAGTAAGTTTGTGTGATATAATGTGTAGGAATATGTAATGCAATCTTGTATCATATTAGTATATGGTACAAGTATAAGGTATCGCTGGCACGATGTTTAGTACATTAATGTATCATCTAGTCGAAACATCTTTGAAATGTGTATGGGACCATGAATTTATCATGCCCTTATAGTATTCATTATTGAAAGCTTACTCGACTACAAGTTTCATTTCTTTTAAAGCTTTCGTACATACATAAAATTCAAATAACTTATTTTAATTAAAGATGACGATTATTTGAAGATTTATTAATAGCCTGCTTATAACTTGAATTTTATATTACTTAATGTACTATATTTTTTAGCATGTTGAAAATTAAGTCGAGTGAGCTTAAAATCAGTTTGTGCAAAAAAAAAAAAAAAAAAAAAAATAGTCGGAAAGACAGCATTTTTAACAGGAAAATCGTTTTCCTATAATTCATATCGACGGATTCTATTTTGCACAAATAATCGAATAACATTTTACAAGATCCGCCCTGCCGACGGTATTGTCAAAAGAAAAAGAAAGAAAAGTAATTATTCCTACTGGAGCAGATGCAAATTAGATTACTATAATGGTATAATCGAATTTTAAAAATTTCCAACATTCATATTTTTTAATGCGATTTATTAATTATACATCGAGCTGCGTAAAAATGTTCTGTTGTGAGCCGTCTGTGTGTTATAATCTATATATATTCTTTCAGTACTTTTAAACGAATAGTACAAAACAGCGATGAGAAAAGTGAAGGTGAATGTAATGGTATAATATAATCGTTTTGATTTACTGATAGAATATACACTATGGTTCTTACATTAAATGTATATATATATATTTGAATGGTATGACAAACAATTGCACAGTTGTTGAAATTTAATAAAAGAGAAAAAGAGAACATGAAATTGTAAGCAGTAAAATCTTTGAGTGTCTTCAAACATACTTCGCATTTATTACATAATTTATGTATTTATATATAAAAGAATGAAGATGATTTGTATTTGTAGACACTCAAGTAACTCATTTAAGTAGTAAAAAAAAATAACAAAATTTCAAGTGTATTTATGAATTTAATGTTATGTTTTTTTTTGTTATATATGTATTATTTTATGGAAATATGTGGAAATATGTAATCTGTTACAAAAGTTGAAGCATACATATTTTTTTATACATGGTATTTAATTTAATTATATATGTCATAACCACTTCTTAAATGTGGAAACTAGCTAAATTAATGCTGATATATTATAATTATTTATGATATAATACCAAAAGACTTATCTTCTAATTTAATATGTTCATTTCTAAGCATTTTAGTGAATTCATTGAGAAAATGAGCGAGAAAAAGAAAGAGAGAAAATGAAAAAAAGAGTGAGTGTATAATTTGTTGCATACCAATACATTCATTAAGACTTTATAGCCATTATTACATTTTGTTTTCATAAAAGTTAGATATGTCTAAATTTCTCATATTTTATGTCATATTATTCATTTCTTATATTTAATGACATGAACAAATGTATACATATACTATCATATCCTTTGAGAGAAGTACAAAGTTTCAATGAAATTACTGTTCAACATGTTTTTCCAATAATTTGCTTATTATGATTATCACTGAATGTCAGAAAGTTATTCTAATAATCCCAAGTTTCTAAAACAAAGGGTTCATTTGTAAAACTGGCACTCAAATTTGAATTGATACTTGCACTATTGAATATTTTGTGGGTTGAATATATCAAAAACTATATTTCAAAATTGTTACAAACTGCACGCGAGATCGTTCAGATACAGAATCGATGTTGCAAACGTATTTTTTATTGCAGAACACTGCTGTATAGATTATGCTGTTTTATTTTTAATTAGACTTTGTAAAAGCACGTTACGTATTTTGCAAGAATTTGAGGATTATTATATAAGAATATATGAATTGCTTGATTTTTCAAAAAAAATCCTAAATCAGACCGTATCTCAAAGTAGAAATGAGTAACTGCATAAATATTTGAATCAATTATAGGACGCTACTCTTATTCAATATCAAATTGAATGATGAACACTCCTATGAACAAACTAAATGTTTGGCAAAACTTGGTGCCTTTTATTTCATACAAGAAAGAAACGAACATTTTTTTACTGTACCTTGATTATATAAAAAATCGAGGCCAAACGACCAAAATGAATGAGACAGATAGTTATGCTCTTCTTTTAGGGCTTCTTTTATAGTGTTTTACTTTGTAAAAAGAGTTTTTTCAAAGTGATGGAGTAGAAAAAAAGACTTAAATAAACAGCTAGCAGGAAATGTATGCATTTTGTAAAGATATTGTACCGGGCAAAAAAAAAAAAACGTGGTTGCTTCTTTTAAATTTATTTAAATGATTGTTTTTACATCAAAAAATTTCTTCCGAAGTAAAAAATTCATCTTGTTGAGGATCATAATAAAGGGTACTAAATACTGGTCAAATTTATTACATTGCGATATTCATAAATAGTTTTAATGAGAATATAATACAAATATATATATATGTATGTATGTATGTATTTATGTATGTATGTATGTATGTATGTATATATATATATGTATGTTTATTTATTGTATAAAAGTATTGCATACTAGTCAAACTTTATAGATTTAAGTCAAAAACAGGGATTGATTGTCACACAGTAAATTGATTATTGGTTGCGCATTGTATTATTTGTGCAAAAGGAAAGAATAGGATATTTCCATAACTATAATGAGCTTATACGTGTAAAAACTGATATGTGTACTTAGCATAAGAATGGCTTTCTAAGAAATTTCTATATTTCTTTTCTTGTCAATAAGGATTGATCCGATGGTGGCAAGTACGACTGAATATAGAAACGTGTATTAATTAAATTCATTTTCAAAATGAAGCATTTAAAAATCAAAATCCAACAGAGATATTATTATTACAGAAAAAAATGATACTATTTAATTAAATGTTTTGCATAGTTCTATATTCATCGATACTTACTTGTACTTTGTACTTTTTAGGTAAGATTGCTGTTTGTAAGTTTCACATAATTATCACAAAGTGCAAGCAATTGTAGTCTTGTTGTTGATGATAAAAGATCAAACTTAACATGGTTTCCTATGTTGCGAAAGAAGACGGCCTTAAATAATTCCAATTGTAAGACAGAAAAAAAATTTACTACGTTGTTAAGAGATGAACACTGAGAACAAACAAAAAAAAAAAAAAAAAAGAAAATTAAGAGATACACTTAAAGGAGGAAAAGTAAAAGTATCGTTTCCTTTATAACTTAAAGAAAATATTTTGATACCTCCAGATTTGCACAAGTCGAGTGTCATTCATTACTGCTTAAATAAGATTATTTTTACTGAATGCAGCTCAAAACGATAACAATTTATATAAATTATGTGAGGTGTAAGAAACTCTAAGAACTGTGTGAATGTGCGAATCACAAAAAATTGAATAATAAATATATATGTTTAAAACTTGTAAGATTGCGTTTGTTATCTGCTTAGTGATGTTATCTACAAGTCATTCAGTTAACAAGTATTTTACATTAAAATATTCATAATTCAATGAGAGACATTTAAAAGAATAAAGACGACGAATTTAAAACCTATCAATTAGGTGTTATCTGTTTTATTTTTAAATATATACTTACAATTATCACATTTGTTGCGAATTTATATTTATCATAATTTATCATAAATATTTTATTATAAAACGTGAGAAGTTTGCAAAATGATGTTCGTCTTGTTCAAATTTACCCGCGTATGCACGGAGCTTGTGTAGACCCCGAAGTCTGTCGTGTAGACCCCGGAGTGAACCCTTATTTCAGTCGCCATGTCGCGCGCGTTCCGTATAGTACGTGTGTTGTGTGTGATGGAAATATTCTGAATTTTTCACAATATTTCCCCAAATTCGGTAAGATTTTACTCATTTCATACGCAATATAACTTAAGGACTATATATTGATATAATTTATGATATGAAATGTTGTAATATGAAAATGAACATTACTAATACATTCCTTCGTATAACACACATTTTATTTATTTTACTTCGCGAGTATAGTTAATTTATTGAGAATTTGGTTATTTATGTCGACAATAAAATATATAATTACAAAAAAGATGATAGAAATTGCAGTATATGAAAATTATTGTTCAAGTAGACAATTCAATTCAAATTTTTCCGTTACGTTCGAATCACGAACGGCGCCCTCTATCGGCCATTTTTTAATTGTATGTAATAATCGGCCAATTTTAATTTGAATTTTCCAACTTGTTCGTCTTCTTATTCGAATTATAAGCTAATTATTATATATTTATATTGTTATATATTGTTATGATTTTCTATATTGTTGCAGAAAGTGAAGTGAAATACTGAATTTTTAAAGAAAAAGAATGCAATTACATGCAGCAAAGACAATCTCATCCTCCTGATTTTCTTTCAAGATCGCTACAAGGTCACGGCTGCATTGGTGAGTGTATAAAATCAAATATTTCTGTTAGCATTATTAGACCGTGGAAATTTTGTAAAATTTTATATAACTAAACTAATGCAATGTAAATTCAGATTTGTTTTATCTTTTAAATCTAAACATATGAATATTTGTTGCGTATTATACATGTCTGTTCATTCTTACCAAATTTTTAAATTTTTGTTAACTAAATGTATAAATATCCGCAGTCTTATTTGCACATTTTACTTCTTTCGTTCTAAAATGTACTCACTATAAAATCGTGATTAATTTTAAAAAATTCGACTTGAATGAATTTGAAAAATAGAATTCACAAGGGTATCTTTTTAGTCTTTATTGATAAAATATATCCATTAGTATTGGCAAATATTCGAGTTTGATGATAATTTTATGCGTTAAAACAAGATTACAGAAAGGGGAAACAATATATTTAATATGTATAATTTTTGCCGTTAAATTAAAAATTAGGACAATAATCGATACTTCCTTCTATAGTTAACTGATTGCTATAGGTAGTATACCACTGCTTACTTTGCGTGTTTGCGGATAAGTAAAGCATAAAATCTAACGATAAGAGAAACTGGATTCACTTTATCAAGTTTATTAGAATGACTTATTTTAATAACTGAATACCTATTAAACGATTTTTGTACAGTTAGCGTTCAGTTGTTGACACGTCATCTACAAGTAACAAGGTTGTCCCAGATTTTGTTTTTAATTGTTTTCATTTATTACGTTTATTTACGATATAACATAAAGTACATTTGAAACATCAGTTATTATTCAACGTAATATTTTGTAAGGAAAATCTTGAGTCATTTTTATGATTAGAATAATGAAATTATTAAAACCATATTGTTATTGAGGTTATAGGAGAATGTAATTTAAACGTTTAAGTGTTTTTAACCAATTTCCTTGAAATTTTTTGTTTTAGAATTGTAGCTTTTTTGCGTTTGTTAAATAATTTTGCTTCGATGTTCCATTTAATTTAAATGTATAAGATTAATTAAATTTTTATAATTAGTTAAATTAGTTAAATTTTGTAATTAATTAAATTAGTTAAATTTATTCTTCGCTTTAAATAGACTGTAAAAACGATCCAATCTCATATTTATTTGTATATAATATATTTTGAAATATTAGGTATAAAATGTCTTCAGATGTCATGAGCTCAGATTTTGGCAACAATGAAAATGTGTTGTTGACTAGACGGTACTTTGTAGTTGATGCAAAAGAAAATATTGATGATAGAAGTTTACATATCACAATTCCACCTGAAAAGTTAATTAGTAGTGAATTGCAAATAGATGTACAGTCAGATGAGAAATCAAAACCAGATGTGAATACTGTTAAACTTGTGATAGACTTTAAAGAGGATCAAACTAAAGGTGATAGTCAACATTTTCACAAAACACTTATAAGTGATGATAATATCATCAAAGAAGTTTTCACTTCACTTTTGTAGTTTATTATAATTTAATTTTTATGATTATCGATAGAATTTGACATATAGTCTGTCACAAGTATTATTAGCTATTTGAAGAGGCATTTTAAAACAGCTGATGTTTTAAGGTTTCTATAGAAAGAGACTTACAAGGTCTTTCTTCTCTCTCTGTCTTTCTAATGTGATAATAAAATCAATATTGATTAAGTTATAGTGTAAACTTGACACAGTAGTATATTAGTGCTCTCAGAATGCCAGTGCAATATAAAAGTAAAACAAAATTTTCAAAACGTCAAGGTATTATCATCACTTATACGATAGTTTCTAGATGTTATTTTTACACATTTATGAATTTTTTGGATACTACTAGCCATATATTTAAACCAAGATTGTTTTCACTTTAGAAGTTGTTGGTCATCAATTGAGATTTAGTACTCAGAATGAAAGTAATTATAAAAGTAAAGATAGTGGTGCATCTATTCAACCGGAATATGATGTAAGCATAGACGAAAGGTTACCAGAAACAGTGACATTACTTACTACACCATGGGGAGGAAAACTATATTTAGTGGGCACAGCACATTTTAGTGTTGAGAGCCAAAATGATGTTGCAACGGTAAATAAATTACATTTTACATGTACTGAATATATTAGATACTTTAGAATACTCAAGGATCACTGCAATACCTTTTTTTCGAAGTTAGTAGGAACATCCTAGTAGAATAATTAAAACATATATTTTTTCTTTACAATTAAAGATCATTCAGGCTGTACAGCCTCAGATAGTTGTAGTTGAGTTGTGTAAAGCTAGAATCGACGTTATAAACATTAACGAGGAAGCTCTGTATCGTAATGCAACAGATTTAAGTATTAGTAAGTTCTTCAGATTGTCTATTCAAGCATCATGCTTTCGATATGATGTTCATTTATTTCACTTTGCAGAAAGTTTAACTGAAACGATAAGACACTATGGTGTTTATAATGGGTTGTTACACATTATGTTATATCGCATGGTGGCTCATGTCGTTAAGGAACTTGGAATGCCACCAGGTGGTGAATTTCGTATAGCATTTGAAGAGGTAAATTAGAATAGGTTTCAACTGGTTTAAGTAACAAACATTAAATAAATTTCACGGTGTTTCTTCAGGCGAAAAAGGTACCAAACTGTATTATTCAGTTAGCTGACCGCTCGATTAACATAACGCTTCAACGTGCGTTGAGAGAATTATCTTGGTGGGAAATAATAAAACTTGCTTGGCTAATGGTACGATTAGACTCCCACATTAGTAAACAAGATGTAGAGCGTTATAAGCGGAAATCAGTGATAGAACAAATGATTTCATCATTGAGAGAAGAATATCCAGCGATAGAAAGAACATTTGTCACAGAAAGGGACATGTATCTTACATACCATCTTCAGATTGCTACCCAACCCCAACATACTTCGCAGGGGCTAAAAATACCAAGAGTTGTAGGAGTTGTTGGCATAGGACATATCAATGGAATAGTCGAAAACTGGGGAAAAGTGAAAGACTCCGACATATGGCCTATTATACGGTATATATGAAGCTAACATAGGAATTCATGGATAAATTACTGCAGATACCAATACTTTCGTTCCATTTTTTTTTTTTATAGAGTACCTCCTCAACCTTTATCAAGCAAAATATTGAAATTCACAATTAAAGCTTCCTTATTGGGAGTTACCATTTATGTGGGATATAAAATTATACCATTGCCTTCCGTTAGTACGTTGCAATCAATCAAATCGTCACTCGAAGGATTGTTAAAGGTCAGTGTTAAACAGTAGAATAGCCGAAACTTTTAGAATTGTTTACTGAGATATATATATATATTATCGAGAAGAGAGAAACAAAAAGCAAAACAATTGTTTCCTTTATTTTGTGCTGCCTATCCTTAAAGATCCTGTCGAACTTTCTTCGGCTTTCTCATTGATATAAACATTGTAATAAGCATGGAGGCGACTGCCTGTGCAGATGAATACGAGCATATCGTACCTAGTGTCATGTACACGATAAGTAACATACCAGGTCCTGGAATAGATTTGAAAGAATTCGAGTCAGAATATTCACTAGGTTGCTCATGTACTGTTCGGTGTACCGATTGTTCGTGTACACGTGGCTCTCCGAATTATATCGACGATTGTATACTGGATGAAAAATTATCAGATCCAATAATCGAATGTAACTCACATTGTACTTGTAAAGAAAGATGCGGGAATAGACTGGTACAGAATGGTCCAGTGGACAGTCTAGTCGTGTCGAAGATTGATGGGAAAGGACACGGCTTGTTCACGAGTAAGTCGATTAAGAAAGGTCAATTCATTTGCGAGTACGCTGGCGAGGTGGTAGGTATCGAGGAGGCAAGACGCAGAGTCGAGGCGAATAAAAATACCATGAACTACGTGCTTGTGGTTTCTGAGCATATCGGTGATCGAGTAATAGTGACGTGCATAGATCCCAAACATTTTGGCAATATTGGACGATACTCGAATCACAGTTGTGAGCCTAATACTAATCTCGTACCTGTCAGAGTGGAAGGACCAGTACCACGATTATGTTTGTTTGCGTCCAGAGATATAAAGATTGGCGAGGAGATAACTTTTGACTATGCTGGCGGAGTTGTTAATTCCGTCCATAATCTTAGTCATACACCCTGTCTCTGTGGCTCCAATAATTGTTTTGGCTATCTGCCTCATAATACTATTTAAAACTGTTAAACCCTTTGATAAATTGATTAAAAATGAATTGTCTTTGGTAAATTTATATAAAATTTTGTTTATTCATTGTTTATTGAAAATTGGGGCTAGGTAGTGTCAAGGAATATTTTTAGAAAGGAATGAAACGAGTGGAATAGAGTGTAGCGAGTTAGTGTGTCGATTGCATATAGAAATTATGATGGTTTTTTTTTTTATTAGTGCAGAAGCAAGGGGATTAGTGTATTAGGAAAAATAATGAACTTTAGTACATTGTAAATTTAAAAAGAAATTGTCAAAGAAAGGTAGGGTTAAGAATATAATGTGAATTGTGATTAAGAAATGATTTATAAATCACGATTTCATAGTGAGATTTAAAAAGGAAGAAGGATAAAATTTCGGATAATAAAATATTGAATGCTAATATATTATTATAACTAATCTCGTTATTTGAGCCTCAATTTAACATTTTATTATATATGTATCAAACTTTTTTGTAACAGTTAATATATGTTAATAAAGATATATTGTTTAAGAATGCAATGTACATATTTATATGTGCAGTAAAATATTTAAGAATGCAATGTACATATACATATGTATATGTGCAGTGAAATAGTTAAGCACGATATAAATTAATTTTCCAATGAAATTAAACATCTACACGTTTTAAGTAACACGAATGTTATTAATAATGTAATTTTACTTTACAAAACATTTGAACAGAATTTCTTTCATTTATTATTGGGTACGAATAATGTTTAGTGCTGACAATAAAGCGGTGTACGATACATAAAAGAACAAGTCTCAAGATTTATAAAAATCTTTTTAATTTACTAGAATGTACACGTCAATTAAAAAAATTGAACTTTCAGAAGTTTGCCGTTTATTTTTTTCTCTTAAAATTATCATAATTATATACATACAAAAAAAATATTAGATTTTCATCTAGTATTCTTTTTGTTTCTTAAGCGTTAGCGAACTTCTTTGGTTTGTCCTGTACAGTTAATCTGTATTTTAAAAACTGTACATTGTAACATGTAATTCATTAAAACGAGCGTAGAATTCAGTAACAAGCTAATATCTTTTCGGTCTGTCAATATCTATTTCTTCTCTTCGTTTTTCGTGGCACACTCCGATTCGCTTGATTGGTTGCAATATTTCCAACGCATCCACGTAACCCTCATGCGATCCCAAATGTTCTCTAACGAATCCATAGCTGGTCTAACATCCAGCAAGGTGAAAGTATAATTTTTGTCAATTGCCCCACCATCGTAGTAATCTATAACATATCGTACATCCTTTCCGCATCTATCTATAATCCAGTCGTGCCGGTCAAATGGTAGTTCGTATCTAAAAGGAAATAGTTCCATGTTTGTTAATCCAAATCTGAGAGTAATCCTGGTAATATCGAGTTATTCTTCTTTGCAGACATAGCTCACCCCATCCAATATCGAATGCGTGCACGTGGCGAATACTGCTTGGCTTTGCCTCCAAAGCTGCGCAATTTTGGAGTACCACACTCCCTCGCGTGAAGTGCCTCCCATTTAAGCACTTCTTGCCACGCTAATTCGTTATTTGCATTATGGATTTTTATTATATCGTCCATGTCCTTTGGTGTTATGTCGTCGTTCTTCCACCTCCAACCTTTTCTCAGCATCGCATTCCAAAACATTTGTTGCGAAGGGTACATCCAAAACCCATCACCTGTTGCTTTTGGTATGGATGACATTTGTCTTTCCGTTGGCAGTGGAAAAGGCTGATCTGGTGCCGGTTGTTGATTAGCTGGTGGCATCTACAATTTTATTTAAATTATCGTTCAGGGAAAATGAACTAGTCTGAAAAGTTATTCTCATTCTCAAACGCGTCGATAAGAATATTAACCATGTTTAAAGGATTGATTTCGTTTGGAGCCATGTCATTAATCGGACATTCGCTGGAATACATTGGCGGTGCTTCTTCCTGCATAGATTTATGCATAGGGCATTCTGGAGGAGGTTTTCCTTTGGGTTTGTGTGTTTCATGGTACGGTACATTTGAAACCTCTGGCTGATGTACAGAGGTAATTGCATCAGCTGCCGATACAGCAGAATTCATTACATTTCCCATTTTCTTTTATAGTAAAATCTCTGTAACGAGCATTTGAAATTAGAACACTTACATTTTCATTCAAGAAAATAAGAATCATGAGCATTGGAAAGATAACCTATAAGTAGATTATGCAATAAGCTGTGTATCGCCTGTTATTTCAATGTCGCAACTAGATATGTTAAAGCAGAAGATGAGAATATATTTTCTTAGTCGTGAAATGCTCTGACAATACTTCGACAAAAGGGAGGTCTTAATAAAATACTTACATCGAGTTATAAACATATATGATATCGTTGGTATATCTATTTGATTATCTGTCTTTATGTAGAATTAGAACCTTTCGATAAATTAAGACGATTCTAGATAAGTTAAATAAACTTTGAGAATTAAAGGTATTGTGTTTCAAAGAATTGAAACATCTCGATTCCGAATTCTTTAAATCACTTGGGATTAAACGTACAACAGAAACAGTATGGCAGTAGTGCTACGGCAGTAACAGTACTTGTGTCACATTGCTGTTTCTAGTGATTTTTCTTAAGGTCATAAAGATTTCCCCCAAGAGTGTGGGAAGTTTTTTTCCGAAAAGTTTATGACAGAAGATCTGACGAGTAATTCCTTTGTTTTTTTTTTTTTTTTTTTTTTTAAAAAAAAAGGGAATTTTTATTTTTTTTTTTGTGGCGGGGTTTTTTTTTTTTTTTTTTTTTTTTTTTTTTAACAAAAATCAATTTTATTTTCACATATCTGTACATAGGTATATACGCAACGATATTTAATTAAATAATTCCACCAAATTTTAGGAAGGTTTCACGTACTTTTATTGGCAGAACCGTAGATTCGAAATTTGAAATTTTGAACAAGTTTGTTAGGAATCGTGCAAGTAGAGGGTGCAACTATTTTCCAGTGCTCTTTCCTTTAAATTGAAATACGTGTAATATATACACTCGGCCCGCAGGTTTTACCATGCGAACAGTGACATCATCGTGGAACGTAACACCTCTCGTTATATGTACAAAAGATATCAAATTCCGACAAAAGAATCGCGTTAAATGTTCCCTCAACAACGAAACGTCGCGTTTCGTAACTTATTCGTAATTTTTATTCATGCGAGAGCGAAACTCTTTCGTTCGCCGTGATTCTAACCTACAATACTGTAGAGAAAGTAATGTACTCGGAGGAAAGCAGAACAGATCTGTCAGAATACTCTGTTATTAGATTTTGAGAAATCCCTATTTGTGTTATATACTTAAGGCGATCTACTCTTTACAACAAAACCGGTTTTCAATATATTTCTCTTCAACTATCATCGAAAGCCGATTTTGACGATAGACTGGCCACTGTTATTCCTCAGCTTCTCGGGGGAAAAAAAAAAAAGAAAAAGAAAAATGGTACATTTCTAATTCAACCGCGTGGCATGGATTTATGTTCTCGAAGGATCAGTTCCTCGCGATCTTCGTCGACTCCTTGTTCCCGGCCACGTGTTCCAAATCGAGGCTGTCGTACTCCAGTCCAGCGGTGTTGTCGTAATAGGCGTAGTCGTAGTCGTTCTTCTTCCCAGATTTCGGTCGCGGTGTCGTGGTACTTGGCAGCCTCGTTGTCGACGAGAATGGTCTGGCGGATCCGCTGACATAAGTACTTTCCCTAGGGGTTGTCGGCGATTGCGGTGGTCTCTGGGTGTTTGAGTTGAAGATGTTCGGATTGTAGGTGGTGACCGTAGAGATCCTCCTGTACGTGGAAACAGATCTTTCTCAATACAGCGATTTAACCTCAAGTTATTTAATGTAACTAATATAAATAAATATAATATAAATAATATGATATAATATAAAAACCAGATTTGGAAGTATTATATTTAAATAATAGTATATTATAATATATATTATACAGTATTATAATGTAAATAATATAATATAATATAAAAACCAGGTTTGGAAGTTATTATCTAATTTAATATCTTGGCACCGGGATATTAAATTATATATATATATTATAATATATTATATAGTATTATAATATACTATATAATACATATAATATATGATTTAAATAGTAAATAATACAATATAATATAAAAACCAGGTGTGGAAGTTATTATCTAATTTAATACCTTGGCACCGGAATATTAAATTATATATATATATATATATATATATATATATATATATATATGTATAATTATAATATATATTATATAGTATTATAATATACTATATAATATATATAATTTAAATAATATAATATAATATAAAAACCAGGTTTGGAAGTTACTATCTAATTTAATACCTTGGCACCGGGATATTAAATTATATAATATATATATAGTATTATAATATACTGTATAATACATATAATATATAATTTAAATAGTAAATAATATAATATAAAAACCAGGTTTGGAAGTTATTATCTAATTTAATATCTTGGCACCGGGATTATTATAATATATTATATAGTATTATAATATACTACATAATACATATAATATATAATTTAAATAGTAAATAATACAATATAATATAAAAATCAGGTTTGGAAGTTATTATCTAATTTAATACCTTTGCACTGGGCTATTAAATTATATATATATTATAATATATTATAACATATTATAATATATATTGTACTGTATTATAATATACTATATAATATATATAATTTAAATAGTAAATAATATAATATAAAAACCAGGTTTGGAAGTTATTATCTAATTTAGTACGTTTCGCACTGGGCTATTAAATTATACATACATTATAATGTATGTCCTATATAAATAATATAATATATATAATATATATTATATAGTATTGTAATATAATTAATATAATGTAATACAAAAACCAGGTTTGAAAGTTATCATCTAATTTAGTACCTTGGCACCGGGGTGGTAGGTCTTGCTGTCTCAGCCAGATGATTGATGCTGGCAGGACTGAACCCTATCCCAACCGAGGATCTCGCCAGATCGTAGGTCCCCGTGCTAGTCTCCGTGTAATATTTCCCGTTCGATCCCTCGTAATTGTTGTACTGCGTCGCTTTTTTCGGCGCTCTCGTTACCTCGTAATACTGGGACGAGCTTTTCACAGGTTGGCTAGACTTCTCGTAATACTGTCCGTTCTCGTTGTTCCTTACGGCGGTCTGCGCCTGTGCATTGTCGTTGGGAATGTACTTCTTCGTTGCTGGACTGTACGTTGTAGGCGCGTAATTGCTGCTTGCGTAACTGGGGAAGTATTTAGTGGTTGATTGAGAGACGTCTTGCCGGATAGTCGTGCTAGGTCTGTACTGTCCGTTGTTGTTGTTATTATTATTATAATTATTATCGTAAATGGTAGGCGAAGCGGTGGTAGACTGATAGGGCACGTTATTGTTACTCGTGCGTTGTATGTTATTGTAATTTCTCTGGTAATTGCTGTAATCGTTCGCCTGGTAGCTGGTGCTAGGCTGCAGTGTCGTGGACGGCGCGAACGGCTGTCCGCCGTTGTTGTAATTCTGATTGTAATTCTTGCTGTAGCTGGTGCTCTGGCTGAACGGCTTCGCCGTCGTACTCTGGCTGAAACCGGCGGCGTTCTGCTGATTGTAATTGGAATTGGCGTTGTAGGCGTTGTAAATGGTCGTTCTGGTTGTGGTGCTCGGCGACTGGAAGTTGTAATTGTTCTGATAGCCGACGGTGCTCGGCCGATAAGTGGACGACGGCGTGTTGTATCTCGGCGTGTTCTGATTCTTGTTGAAACTCTCTTGGGGCCTGGCGGTGGTCGACGGCACGAACCCGTTCGCCCGTTGATTGTAGTTGTTGCCGCTGTAGAAACCGGTGTACGTGTTCTGGTTGGCAGGGGCAGGGGCAGGCACGCTCGTGCTCGACGCTACGTAACTGTTGCTGCCATTGTCGTTGTACTGCTGCTTCCTGCTGACCTTTCTGACACCGGTTTTCTTCTTCTCTTGAGCAACCTCGTCCTTGTAGGGCCTCTCGTTCTCGTAGTCCTCATCCTTGCCGTTCCGATTGTTGTAAAAGTTGCCGCTGCTGCTGCCTCTCAGGTCCCTGTTGCCGTTGTAGCTGTTCGACGGCTGTACTCGGTTGAGGGTGTTGGCGGAGGAGCGGACAGGGTCGCTGGTCTCGGACCGTTGAAGATGATCTTGCGGCTCGGCGTCGCTGCGTATGCTGTCGTAGTGAAGCGACTCCAGGCCCGATCCTATCCTGTACAGGTCGAAATTGTCGCTGGCGTAGTAGAGGGTGGCTGCCTCGCAGTCGACGTCGTACCAGTCCGCGCATGTCTGGCTTTCCTGGTCGAACGCGGTGTCGTTGGGACACAAGAACCTTGGGAAGAAAGCAACGGAACAGATGACGAACGAGTCGGCGTGGGTCGGATATTTTCTTAACCTGGGATAACCTACTTGTAGTCCTGAACGGTGCCGGCTACGGACACGCAGACGTGAAACACTTGGCAGTCAGTCTCCGGGTCGGCGTAATAGCTTCCTACGATCTTGTTGCGACAAGTGAAGGAAGTTTCCGGCATGTATTGCTGCGAGTATCTGGGTGGTGGTCGCTGCAGCCCGAGGACGCCGGCTCCGAGCGCGGAAACCACTGTCACAGAATGGGAATCGGTCGGGTAAAAAGGGAAGAATAAAAAAAAAAGAGTGAAAACACTCCTCTTGAGGAAACCTTGACTTCTCGGCGTGTGAAATTATTTAATAGCCTCCAGCGTTGACTGAAATTACCAAAAATCCAAAAGTACCTAGTATCGTAACGTCTGCTGTTGCCCGTTTTATAAGTAAATTAATCAAACATCTCAGATTATCTGGTACTGAACAAAACACTCAGAGGATTCGTTTTTACCCTCCCCCCCCCCTTCCCTTTGAAGGATAGATAAGAAATTAAGAACTTTCGCTCTCCATTCAAGGAACTCGTTTCACCGTGAAAAAGGAAAAAAGTGGTTGGTTATGGCTCGTCATGGTCCGCGATGATGCTTTTCTTTTCACGCGTGAAGCAGCCTGCGTACTCACGGGATCGTGACGGGATCGTGCTTCTCCCCTCGCGAGAAGACTCGTGAAAGAAAATTTAAAGCTAAATCTTGGAATTTCCGATCTTAACGTACCCCATACGAGACAGACGAGCCTCCCGATGGATTTCATCTTGTCTTCTTCTTCTTCTTCTTCTTCTTCTTCTTCTCCTTATTCCTCTTCGAGTAAACCGATCACTACAGGTAGTCGATCCGCGAGAAAGCTGGACACTACCGTCGTTACCTTCGCGAAGGGACTGTTGGAGGTGACTGCAGCGTCGAGGAGAACGCCTCGACCGAGAAGAGGATACCCAGCGGGGAAACAGTCGCATGGGAGGACGCCTCTGGTCCCTGGTGTACGAGGTAGGGGCCTCTCTATCCAGGAGAAGGCACACGTGTGATGGGGGTAGAGGACGTAACGCTTCGTTACGTCACTCCCCGCTCGAATCACTCGAAGGCAGATGCTACCTGCCAGTAGACGACCCGGAGAAACTATTGATGAAAGCTTCGGAACGATCGCAATCTCTCTCGTCTTCTCTTCCTATCGAGTTTGCTTTTTTCGAACATCCTGGAACATCGTGGTGGGGGCCTAGAGTTTGTCGACTTTCCGCTGCAGATGATAATTTGCATATCCTCGCGTACCATATGTGCATCCTATGCAATCTTGCGTGTTCAGATTGTTCGTAAATTGCACGAACGTTTCCTTACTCGGTTTATCTATCGGACATTCTTCAACCACTAGTGAGAGTTTCTTCTTCTTTTTTTTTTTTTTTTCTTGTTTTTTCTTAATGATAGGGGATTAAGGATTTTCATTATGGAAACGTGCAAATGAATACTTTGTACGTGGACGTGAGAGTGTAAAAATGTATGGAATGTTCAACGTAGAGTTTAGGTTTCATTTCTTTGGAACGATTTCACGTGACTTTTACGGAATCTTGTAAATAAATCCTTGATTGGTATTGTTTGGTTCAATTGAAATTTGAGCTGGGTTGTTTAATTTTATTTCATGTCCTGTGTCTCGTGTCACGTGAAATACGGAATAAAAATTGGAAAGTAGCACGTTAAATTTAAGTAAAAAGCAGAATTTAACCACTTGCGCGGGCAACTGATTGCGGACCATAACGAGTGACCAAACCGTATAGAATAATTTTGAACTCGTCGGTAGAAATTATTAAGATAATAATAAATTTATTATCTGCTTTGCCTATTGTATTTCACTCAAATATACTTAAAACAGAGAATATTACAATTTTGGAATAAAAAATTCTCGACGTGGTGAAATAATAAAATTGTTTGTATTCATAGCAATACGATTCGGGGATTAAGTTAGATTATTTTAGGCTGAAGGGTTTGAGAGTTAAAATGATCTGCAACTAATAATCTCGCAACTTGCAACGTGGACGAGTCCTGTACAATCTTTGGAAACTCGTGTACCTGTTGAAATGACCAAATGTACCAAATGAATGTTGTTATTCAACTCTCACGGATGACAAATTTGTCGATTACGAAGTCGAGAAGCGGTAAAAGTCACTTTCTATTAAATCATTCGGCGGTGCCAGCAAGAGGCTGCAGGCCTGGAAAAAATGATTGTCGATAAGATCGTAGCACCGAAAGTGTTTAAAGTTCAAGACACTGATACGAATCAAAGCCGATTCGAATTAGTCGCTTAACTGCGATTGAAGTCGATTAGAGATGGGATCGAGCGCCTTGCAAGTGGGTTTGAACCTTTAGTCATTAGATTCGAACTCTTTACGAGTATTTCCAAGTATACACGGACAAGATAGCTAACATTAGAACTGCCAACGAGATTAACGCGTAAAATTTCCATCGGAGGTATTAAAATAAGAAAAAAAAGGAAGAAAGGAAGACATGGAATACAACGGCTTTTATTTACACATTTAAAGAAAAATCATTCAAATCTCTAAAAGTACACAGTTTTAATAAATAAAAATTATAAATTGGTTATTTTAATTCGTTTTGGTAGTTCCAGTGTACTTCCAACAATAAGTTCACTCAGATATACTGGAATATACGATTTTCAAATTTCGTACTCGTGTCGAATGCGCATGCGTTCAACGCGCGTGTATGTAGCGCGCATGCGTCTTTAATCTGCCGCCCTCTTTCATTTTGATATTGAAATCGCATGTAAAAACATGCACTGCAACTTAACGTGACGCGAAATTAGCGAAAGAGACAATAAATTGACAGGTTTCCCAGACACGACGGAGATTTTATCGATTTTACGAAGCATCTTCCCGTGTCTCTACATTTCCGCGGTTTTCAAATGTTACGTCCGCGTCGATGCGCATATCCAGTGCGCATGTATCCGATAAAAGGTTTCGAATTTACAGCATGGACCAAAAGTTCCCACCTACCTTTTTTTTTTTATCAATGAAACATCAAAATACAAGAAGAAAACTAATTTCATTGATTTCAAATTATCATTTAAGTTCGAAGTAAAAATATAGAACGACAAAAAGAAATTATTATAAATAAAAACGAAAAGATAAATACGGTAAAAAGAATTACGGATTTACTTTTAGCAGAAAGTGATTTTTCGGCCCACCCTATATACTTTGTATAAAAACGAACGCGTTGCAAGTTGGATATTCGTTTTTACTCCCGAGTGTATTTATACTTTCGAAACCCGCGGAGAGACGAAACTGTTGTACGTGTCTTGATTTGGATTCGCAAGCACGTGTCACGTGACTTGATCCCATCCGTAGTGACGATCGGAGCGTGTTCAAACGACACAGAAATCGTGTGTTCGGTTCGCGGCGACCGGTCGTCTCGTGCCCTTTGCCGGTCCACGAGACCGAGCCTCGACCCCTCGCGAAGGCGCATCCAAGGAGTGCTCTGTGTGTCGCATTCCAAGTGACGTGGAACCGTGATCCTCTTCTGGAACGATCGAGGGGAGGTCCAAAGGGTTTCGCGAGGTGTAAGCGAGAGATAAAGGGAAATCGCGCGGGAGGAAGCACGAGGGGAGGAGGGGGAGGGGGGGGGGGAGGCTGAAGATCGAGGTCGTACCTCGACAATCGATATTTCGCAATTCACCTCGCATTCTGTTTATCCTGCGTGAAACAGACGAGGTTTCCGGCACGTTTGGGAACGTCCTCTGACGATAAAGCGAGACTTACGCAACATTCTTTGGTAGAACATACGCGTAGAACGTACATATGTATACATACACACCGTATATGTACTCTCGACTTGCAATTACAAGCGGACGATAAATATTTTATCCTTTCGAAAGTCATTTTATCGTGACGCGTTATCAATTACAAAATACCTAAACCTAACCTAAAAATTGATATGTGTATATCATGTATATTATATAACACATTAATATATTAAAATGATTATATTAATATTAAATAATACATTTATATTATATTATATAATATTATGTACATTATATGTATATTATGCACAGCAGAAGATAAATTTTCTATTTCTTTTTTCTGTCCAGAAGAATGGTTAAATTTCACTGTTCTAAATTATATTTACAAGTATACTAATGATTATATACCTATTAATAATATAATTAATCCTTATGATTGTAACATTGTATGTACTTATAATTATATTATTACATTATATAATTTAATTTATACGATGATATGAGTTATGGTACATATTTATGATAGAGATTGTGTGATATAATGATCGCCCCAAGTTTTCAGTTAAATTTATATTTTGTAACTAAATTGTGCCTGCTAAAGTCGATATACATATATCTTCAAATTGTTTCATCAAGATTACACATATAAACATGTATATATGTACACACATGTATCTCCAAGTTCTTTGTCAAGTTTTATATTTCACAATTGATACATCACAACATAGTTCATGTTGAAAAAGATGATGAAGCATTGATGATCATCTTGAAAGAGATGCAACATTTACCACCTGCCTCCAAACAAGAGTCAATTAAAGGCATACCATATATACCTTTAATTAACTCTTATTTGGTAAATGTTCCATCTCTTTCAAGATGATCAGCAATGTTTCATCTTTTTCAACATGAGCTATGTTGTGATGTATCAATCAACGAAATATGAAAACTTGACAAAGAACTTGGAGATACACATTATATATATTATACATATTATATATACACGTATATCTTCAACTTTTTCCATTTTGCAATTAAATCGCAGTGGCCGTATCCTGCTGAAGTCAATTTAGATCTCGACAACCTGTAACATTCATCTTCTGCCTTGTAAATAGGAATCAATCGAGAATTTCGTCACAGACGAGTACTATTCCGTTTTTCAATGACCATCCGCGTCTCTATTACGCGCGATGAGCTCGCGACGAGGAATCTTCTCAGCCTTGGAGGGCGAAAGTTGCCTTCGACTCGTTCTTAGATGGCACGATATTTGCACCTACGAACCGTGGAACATGGCCATAGCGAGGAGATCGATCGGCCGGCTCCTTGTAACTTTATCTGGCCACTTTTTTCTTTTCCCCCCTCCGCCATCGTCTCATCACCGATATCTATTAATAGAGATCGCGAAAATTGTACGCGAATCCTCTCAGCCTTCACACCGTCTCAATTTCCTATCGTTCCATCGTGCTGGAAGCTTGGAGATTTCACTTTTCATTTTTCGTAGCGAAGGTTATAGAGAATTTTTACGAGATACTTTTGTGGAATTCTCTGTTTAGATATCGATGTACGCCAAATTGTTCAGAAGTGAAATATCCCGTACAGCGCAGTCTTGTCGCAAAAAAACTGTTCGTAATCTTAAAAAAACTCGATATTTCTTCTTTCTATAGAGCACATTTCATCAATACAGTTTTTATGAAAATTAATTTTAATCAGTATTATTTTCTAACGTTATTCTACCATTGTATAGTATACAATCTATACATATAGATTTAGTCACAATCACAAAGTTTAACCAAAGATTAATGTTTACGTAAAAAAACAAATATATATACTTATGTAAATCGTTGATCAATGCTTGACTTTGATTAATAGGTTTGTAAGAGTTTTTTGGAATATTATTCCTCTTACGTCCTATTATTTAGAATACTATTATTCTCATCTTCTTACCTTCCGTTGTTTGGATTTATTATATTAATTTGGATTATTATTCTATTATTTTCAATATTATTTTTCTTTCTGTGAATTTCATTAGTTTTGAAGATACAACAGTGAAATGTATTTCTTTTTTTTTTCTATATAGAAAAGAATATAAGACTGTAAAAGTAGTATACATAGGAGGCAATTAGAATCTAATTAAATAATTAAATTCTTTCTTTTTTTACACTCGACGATGTTATTTGCGCGAGGAGTAGTTCGAGAACGCTTC